ATTTATGATGCACGTGTGCATCCATCTGTTTTTCGGTTTCGTTTATCACGTGGGAATGGTATTTTTAAATGTTTCTCAAGAAAAAATGTGGTCTGGACACTTGAGTGTTATTTCTTAAATGTAATTAATAATTTCTTATTTTATTGGATTGGAAAAATGATATTCGAATATTGGGCCTTATATACTAATTGCTGGTAAGACTCGACAGTCGATAAAGTAAAGTTAAAAATTTAATATAACGCCATCAGGTGGCCAAGGTAGGGACGTAACATTCAAAATACTGGTTGCAATGGCCTCCATGTAGGTCAATCAGAATATATAGACTCTTTAACACACAGTTCGGTGATATTTCCGTTTTTCCGTTTTTCATGAAAAATATTGTACAGTCGTTTACTAAAATTCTGAAACAAAATACATAGGATGTAAGTTCAGATCGTTTCAGAACTTTAGTAAATGATTGTACGCACGATAACTTGAAAAAAAGGAGATAGCAAGATATAATACTAAAGATTGGTTCCTGAGATATGCAACCTTTTGTGTAAATATATTTCTTGAAATATCTCATGAGGTACTTGACGAATTTCAATTTTTTTTTTCAAAACAACTCGTCTCGGCTGCCATTATCTGAATCAATCAAAATATATATATATCCGTTCATACAAAGTTTCCGAGATATTTCGTGCGCACGATAACTTGAGAAAAAATGGGGATAGCAAGTTGAAATTTGGTATGATTATAGCGGTTACAATACTGAAAGTTGGTATTTTGGATAGGTGCAACCGGCCGAGGAGTTTCGGATATATTTAACTTTTTGTACAAATCTTTTTCATTAAAAGGTTAAATATTTTCCTGTAGACATCCGGTAGCATGTGGTTACGGTTGTATGCTTGTCACAAGGATAGGGAATTGCGATCTATTCGGAAGCTTCCTACCAATGGAATTGGTAGAAATAAAAAAAGAAAGAGACTAAGGACGCAAAAAGTAACGGCCACATGCCTTCTATTGCATAATCTCGGACCCCTGCTTGTTTATAGAATATTTTCTACTGAGATTTCCATTTGAAAATAAAATAAGCAAAATAAGTAAAGAACGATTAGAATTTTCGAGCTAGCGAGATTATTCAGCTCTTAGTTCAATTTTGACAAAATTTCATGGAGAAAATTATTTGGTGAATTTCACCAACTAGTTGTTGAAATTCAACTAGTTGGTAATATTTAACAATTAATTAAAATTTAGAAAAGGTTTTTCAATTTCATTCGATTAATTTTGACTACCAAACTAGATGGTGAGGGCATATACCTATACACTTGGAAACAATCCTACAATCATTTATATCTTGACAATCGATCAATGTCTCCCCTAGAAGATATTTTCGCAATAATCTACAATTCCTTGTTAAATTTGATCCATCAAATAAATCGACGAACGTTTATTGAAAATTTAACAAAGGTTGTCGAATGAAATTGAAAAATCTTTTTCTGAATTTTAATTAAATACTTGTTAAATTTCACCAACTAGTTGGTGAAATTCACCAAATAATTTTCTCCGTGTTTTGTAGCAAAATCACGCGATATTACTTCTGAATGAATCAATTATGGGAATGATGGAATCATATTCATTACAACAATAACATCAAAACTCGGATTTTCCTTGACCCAATTACAAGAATAACAGTTCCAGCAACCGCGTTCTTGACCCTATTCAACCACCCCACGTATTTTCCACGTCATTGTTTATTGACCCATCGAGGAAAACCCAACTTATCAGCAAGTGCTCTCTTTTTCATCGATAACAATATCGCATAATTGAATTATAACAGTAAAAAAACAGACACGTGTCAGACTGTTTTCATCCCCCTTCATAATATGTTTATCTGAGAGTGACATATCGCTGGAAATAATGTTGAGTATTGATTATTTTCAAAGTCCCACGAAAATTTACGATATTAAAAAACCTTCGCACGTATCTTTGAGTCAAGGGTCAATTTATTATCGCGGATCATTCTCCAATCACGCACGCGGAATTCGAAGAAATTTTCTTATCCACGTTGGTGTTGCGCGGATACTGGGAAATCACGATGCGCGGTTGAAGGAATCTGTGTTTATTGGTGCAATAATATTAATATCCATCCATTTTTCTTTGACTGTGAATGGGGCTGATGATAATGAGGAGTCTCTGACCACCGCGGTGCATTGCCACTAATGAGATCAAGTTCATTTGCATGTATGGAAAAATTTAATAGAAGGAATTGTACGCCGAGAAGAATAACGTCTTTTGGGAAGTACGTTTTTATTTGTATGAAGAAGCTCATATATTGAAAAACGACAAGAAAAGAATATCTTACACTGAGAAAAAATAACTTTCGTCAAGAGATTTTGTATTCGTCCGAAAGATGAGGGCCTGTCGGCTCACGACTATTATAGAAAGCGACTGCTCGAAACATGTCAAGTGGTTTTGGCATTCAAATAAGCAGGGGTTCGAGTCTATTCAAAACTACGCAACCGATTTCACTTTTTTTTTCAAAATATTTGTTTCGATGCCTTCTATCTTAATCAATCAAAACATATATACCTGCTCATACTAAGCTTTCGAGATATTCTCGTTTTTCATTTAAAAAAACTGTAATTACACTAGCTAGTGCAAAAATCGAGATATGAACTTGTAGAGAATTCTCGTCACAATTCTGTTAGTTCTTTGCGTGGATTCAATGGGATATTTGATAGGAAAAAGTCAATAGATTCCAATTTTTTTATATGCATATTCTCTTGGAATTTTTTCTACGAGAATACTTGGGCATTTTCCAAGTTCTTTTTACTTGGATGTTGCAATATATCACGTAAAAAATGTGGCCATGGTCTTTTGGCCGCTTGCCATGGCCTTTGCCATGGCATGGAGTTGCCATGGCATTACCATGAAAAAAAATTTTTTTTTAAACTTATAATCAAATAATCAAGTAAGGGAGTTTGACCCTCTTAACCCTCGTAACCTTGTTGTACCTTGTGACCCTTATGGCCCTTATGACCTTAAAGGTCCCAGGGGGCCGCAGGGGCACAAAGGTCAAAGGCCATGGCAAACGGCCAAGAGACCATGGTCATGGCTATGTCACCGCCATGGCCGTGGCCATGAACATTTTGGTACGTGATATAATGCAAAACAGAACAAAATATAGTGGAAAAACTTGGAAAAGCTGTGCCCAATAGTTATAATAGAAAAAATCTCGAGAGAAAATTTCAATCAGAAAAATCGAAATCTATTAACTTTCTCCTATCAAATATCTAATAGAATCTGCGCACAAAACAAAGAGAATTTTAATAGAATCCCCATAGAATTTCTAGAGAATTTCAATAGAATTTTCTAGCGAATACGCTAAGATTTTCTATTGAATTTTCTCATACGTGAACCTTTGACATCTTTGTGAGCCTTAAGGCCTTTGGAATTTTCCCTCAATTATCATGCATGGACATTCGGAAATTCATCTATAAATTCAGAAAAAATTTCCCAATTGTGATTCAGAAACCCAACACTACAATTCGCCTGTTCAATCGAGTCGAGTATTACTCTGCGCACGGAGAAGATGCGATATTCGTGGCTAATGAGGTATTCAAGACAACATCAGCTTGCAAATCCATGGGAGTCGGTGAGTTTTTTCCTCAATAAACTTCGCTGACAACTGCAACAAGGAATTAATTGATTAATCGTATTCATCAATTTAGCGCCTAACGAAATCGATGGTGTCATTCTCAACAAAGCCCGATTCGAGTCCCTTGTTAAAGAACTATTGTTGGTCAAACAGTATCGTGTTGAGGTATACATCAATAAAGGAACGAGTAAGAACCAAGATTGGACGGTGGAGTACAAGGGTTCGCCAGGAAACTTGACACAATTCGAGGAGATCCTATTTGGTAACACTGATATCGCTGTTCGAGCCTCGATTATGGCTGTTAAGTTAGGAACAGAGGGAAAATCAAAGGTATGGAAAATCTATCTATATTTATTTTTTGTATTATCACACTGAAAGAAAAACAAACCCGTTGTCAAACAAATCTTATTTGGGCCAACAAAATCGCTAGTTGAAAATTGCCAAAAAAGAATTTATTTGGTTCGAATTTCAAAATCTCAAACATGAATAATTGTTCTGCTTTCGACAGCAACGAAATATTTGGCTCAAGAGGCGGATAATGCACATCAGACGGTGCTTTTCAGGATAAAAATATCTCATATAGAGGATAATTTATCAACAAATATTTTATCCCCAAGTTACAAGATTGCTATCATATCATTATTATTGTTTCATTTAAGGGTTCATTTCTTGTCTGTGATTATTAGACAGCCGAAACGAAAAATTACTATCCCTTGTTTTGCATAAAACAAAGATTTTTCGGAAGCAAAATATGTGTGAGAGTATCGAGTAACGTAGGAGTAGTGCTAGAAATGACATTTCTTGCGTGTACAAAGAATGCAATTTTTTTTGAACTACTAAATCTATTTTTGCGATAAAAATTTTTCATTCCGGCGCACTCTCTCCATATTTGGCACAAAAAATCCTTTTTTGATAATTTTCAAAAAACTATTTTCTTGGCACAAGTAAGACTTGTTTGAGAACTTTGTTGTTTTTCTCTGAGTGCACGTTAAATGTTTTTAAGGCATCAATTACATGAGAAGAAGGATGCTGTGTGAAATCCATTCTCTTTCCTAAAACAATTAAATAATCATCAGTGCACAAATTAAAAATTCAAACGCATACCAACTTTTTTTGAATTTATATGGATTTTCCTTCATTTTCTTGCAAAAAAAACAGGATTCATCATGCATGAAAAATCTTCGTAGAAAAACCTATCGAATTCGCTAGACAACACTATTGGATTTCTATTGAACTTTCTATTAGTGTTTGATCGATTCTATTGAAATGTTCAATTAAAAATCTCAAAAGAATTCGATTTTTTCATACAACTTATTTTATTGAGACATTTTTTAGAGAATTTCTTCGTCTTAAATTTTCCAAGTTTGTTTGATTTTCTTGATGACAAGAAAAGAAAAACAGATTGAAAAAAATTTAGAAAATTTGAGCCGAAGAAATTCTATAAAAAATATCTCAATAGAATAAATTGTGTAGAAAAATCTAATTTTATTGACTTTTTCTATAGAATATTTTCCATTGAATATTTCAATAGAATTGACCCAAAAATTAATAGAAAGTTCAATAGAAATCCAATAGGATTCCGAGCGAAGTCTAGTGAATTCACTAGGTTTTTCTATGAAATTTTTTCATGCGTGATCACATGAAATATAATTGAGAGAAGTACAAAGAGGATACAAAGAAATAGGAAATGCAACTTATTTGGAAAATATCTTTGGAACGAAGAATAGTTAGAGTAAATTCATCAAAAGATTTTTTTTTTAATTCGATTGTATTTCTATTGAACTTTCTATTAGTTTTTGACGGATTCTATTCAAATGTTGAATAGAAAGCATTCAACAGAAAAAGTCCACAGAATTTGATTTTTCTATATAACTTATTCTATTGAGATATTTTCTATAGAATTTCCTCGGCTCAAATTTTTGAAGTTTTTTTATTTGATTTTCTTGATGAGAAAAAAAAGAAAAATAGAATGAAAAAGATTTAGAAAATTTGAGCCGAGGAAATTCTATAGAAAATACTTAAAGAAAATAAGTTATATAAAAAAATCGAATTCTATTGACTTTCCATTAAATATTTTCTATTGAACATTTCAATAGAATCGGCCAAAAATTGATAGAAAGTTCAATAGAAATCCAATAGAATTTTCTAACGTTTTCGCTAGGTTTTTCTATTAAATCTTTTCGTGCGTGAATCTTGATTATATCTTGGTTAAACCCACCTGAAAACGAATTGGAGTCTTGAGAGGCTCTGAATGTAGAATTATTTAACAGAACAAAATAATACGCAAAATTTTGATGACATTTCAATTGCTAGTACTATGACATGAAAAAATAGAAGACAATAGTGAAATAGAAATTGAAAAAGAGAACTCATTCGGAAACAAATTGCCAATTTATTAGCAACAATAAATACTCATTTATAAAAACAATGCCATTGTCCATTTGTTTTTTTCTGTTATACCTATGAATTATCTCCAGGTGGTGGGTGTCAGCGTGATGGACACAGTAACAACAACAATTTTCATCAGTGAATTCGCAGACGACGATTCATTCTCAGACCTCGAGGCCCTGGTTGTAACAAACGCCCCAAAAGAGTGTCTCGTGATCGAAGGTGGAGGCAACAAGGATTTCCAATCTGTCAAAAGACTGATGGAACGCAACGATGTCCTCGTCACATCTCGCAAGAAGGGTGACTTCTCTACAGACTCCTTGATCCAAGATCTAAACTCTCTACTGAAATTCAAGAAAGGTCAGCAGGAGAATGCCCAAGCACTTCCAGAGACGAGTCTGGAGCAGGCGATGTCGGCAACAGCTGCTCTCATTAAATACCTAGACTTGACGTCTGATGCATCTAGTATTGGACAGTTCTCGGTGAAGCAGTTGGAGCGCTCTCGTTACTTGAAGCTGGATGCAGCAGTGATAAAAGCACTGAACATCGATCCACCCCCTGGATCATCAACAATAGTTGGAGGTGCTGTCACGAGTGTTCTAGGACTGCTGGACAAATGCAGAACACCTCAGGGGCATCGATTGATCGCCCAGTGGGTGAGACAGCCACTCAAGGACTTGGCACTGATTAAGGAGAGACACGACATTGTTGAGCAACTCGTTAAAGATAGTGATCTGAGGTCAGCGTTGAGTGAGGATCACCTCAGGAGAATTCCAGATCTCGAACAGTTGTCGAAGAAGCTCACGAGAAAGAATGCGGGACTACAGGATTGCTACAAAGTTTACATGTGCATGTTAAATTTGCCTGTTCTGATAGCTAGATTAACAGAGGCTGATGGCTGCTCTGCTATGAAGGCTATGATCATTGAACCACTTAGGGAAGCAACCAATGATATGGACAAGTTTCAGCAGATGGTGGAGCAGACGATCGATCTTGAGGCTACTGACACTGGGGATTTCTTGGTGAAATCTGATTTCGATGAGGAATTAAAAGGTAATAACTGCTTGTTTTTCTAGTTTTAGATTTGAAGATGAACCAGTCAAAATCAGGTGACGGACATCAGGGACGAAGTTGATGATCAAGGAAATTGGTGTCATACTCGATATGAGCGAATCCGCCAATTCTGTATACGAAAAATTGCCTCGAAATTTTAAAGGTTTTTTTCTATTTTTCATCGGGAACTATAATCGAAAAGGAGAAAAATGAGCGCAAACGGAGCTCCTAGCTCAATTATTGGCGGAGATATTGAAGATCAATTTTTTTTTCTTCTAAATACTTTTTTTTTATTCCAACTGCGAGCCACTGAGAATAACAAAAAAAATTTGAACCTTTAGATTTTGTCGGAAATTTTCTCAGCTTTTCGAAAAAATATTGCTTTTTATGTATCTATGTATTCATGCACGGAAAATTCAAAATGGAAACTTCAAACGGTCATTTGGGGTCCTTCCCCACCCTTTTTTGTTTTTTCATCGGAAAGAATAAAATTTTGTCCTCCCAAAAAATTCGCTTCATTTGTTTACACCGAAGCTATCGGGAAATATTCCAGTAATTTTTAAGTTGCGAGGGATTATAACTGGAAATATCTTAATGGAATAAGTTGTATGGAAAAATCGAATTCAATTTTCTTCTATAGAATATTTTCTATTAAACATTTTAATAGAATTGGCCAAAAACTAACAGAAAAATCAATGAAAATTCAATAGAATTGGTTGTCGAATTCGCGAGGTTTTTCTATCAAATTTGTCATGCGTGACTGAATTTTAAACTCTTAAAATTTCCTCCGTACATTCTGTTGCTTAACAAGCTGATCCCATATATTTAAAAATAATTGTATATTTTCGGCACAGAACTAAGGCAAACAATGGAGAAATTAAAAAGCAAGATAGAAAATCTTCTGAACAAAGTGGCAGACGATCTCAATATGGACGCTGGAAAGAATATTAAGCTCGAATCAACTCAGCAGCAGGGATTCTACTTCAGGATATCGCTTAAAGATGAGCCGATTCTTCGAAACAACAAGACTTACGAGGTTTTCGAGTCAATAAAAGCAGGTGTCAAGTTCAGAAATGATAAATTAACTGAACTCAATGATGACTACATAGCAACTCGCGAGAGATACGAGAAGCAACAGCAGAGTGTAGTCACAGAAATAATGACAATTACAGGTAATTATTTATCCAATGTTGAATTTGGACAAATTGATGAAATAATTTGGACTATCTCAACAATTCCTCTCAATCTTTAATAAATAATTTTTTTTTTGTTTGTGGATACTTTAACTTTTAAAGTGCTAGGCACATCTGAACTTACCGTTTGTCTTTCGGGAAGGGTTCGTTTAAGATTCATGAAAAGAAAACAATACAATTTCGATAAACCAGTCTTTAATGCGTTGACTGTTCATTTATAATTTTCTTAATTTTACAAATTTGGATAGAGCTAATATGGAATATTGGATAAGAGGGAGAGAGAAAATTCGCTTTGATAGATTTTGTTTAGTTGAATTCTAGAGTGAACATTGAAGCCAAAATAAATGCTTGTTCATTGATGGATGAAATTTCTACAATCCAATAGTATATTCCACAGTCGTTTCTGAACAATAAAATACTCGTTGAAATTAATGTTCTCTTTATATTAATTCACTTATAATTTTAGTTTAACTATTCATTATAATAGTATGTGTTTAATATTTCACTGTGTCTGTTGCACAATCCACAACGCGTAATAGACAATTTTGCATTCTATCGACCGGTTGTGCCCAAATTGCTTCTCGCTGAAATAGTGATATCCCTCTAATAGTTGAAGAAAAAAAGTGATTCGTCCCCGCCGACATAAAAGAAGAAAAAGAAACATTTTCTAACCGATTATCCGTTTCTGATTCTTTTTTGTTTTCCTTTTCATAATAATAATTGGAATCCGACCACATGAATGAGGAGTACCGATATTCATATGTACCATATGTAGGGAAAACTAGATTTGGAAAATTTTCAGGAATACATGGAGAGATTTTTCTATTATGCGAACGAGATTACGAATGACTTTTCTTTTGTGGGTTTGTTTTGATTTAAAAAAACCACTTTTGATTGATCTTTAACATAATTCCTCATCATTCAATGTTATGACTTGTAAGTTGAGGGGACAAAAATATAAGACAAGAATGGATAAAATTAAACTCATCTAATTATGAAGACGGAAATGGAAAGAAAATAAAATAAAATAGTATAAATTAAGATTAAAATTAATTTATACTGCTCGTCGATTTTCGGTAGTTGAAGAAATAATGACGTCGTTGATCAATTTCTCATAGTGCGACGTTTCGCTAAATTATGTTAGCTTCATCAGACTCTGGAAGACAAAATGCAGACAATATTATTTGTATTTTATAGCTGGCTACAGCAATCCAATCAAGGTGATTGCATCAACCATTGCCATCCTGGACGTGCTAACTTCGTTCGCAGTGACGGCTATTCAAGCACAAACTACCTTCGTTCGTCCTGAGATGCTTGACAGTGAGACTGGAGTGATAAATATCGAACAGGCGAGACATCCGTGCCTCGAGGCTCAACCGGACGTTCACTTTATTGCTAATGACGCCAAGTTCAAACGAGACGAGAGCCAATTCTTCATTATCACTGGCCCCAACATGGGTGGAAAGAGTACCTACATGAAGTCCATTGGTGTTTGTGTTTTCATGGCGCACATCGGCAGCTTCGTTCCCTGTGATAAAGCCAGCATCTCGGTCATTGATTGTCTACTGGCTAGAGTTGGTGCTGATGATTCACAGGCTAAGGGGGTCTCCACTTTCATGATGGAAATGGTCGAAACTGCTACGATTCTTCGAGTATGTAATTTTTATTCATTTGTGATTAGTTGCATTCAAAGTGGAATCCTTTTTAGAGACCTTTGTTGTATTTTTACACGCACAAAAAAATTAATAGAAAAACCTAACAAATTCAAAAAACAATTCAATTGGATTTCTATTGAACTTTCTAGTTGATTTTGGACGCTTTTATTGAAATGTTCAATAGAAAATATTCTAAAGAAACAGTTGACAGAATATGTTGTTTCTGTATAACTTATTCTAGTGAGATGTTTTCTATCGAATTCCCTCGACTCAAAATTTCGAAGTTTTTTTCATTGTATTTTTCTTTTCTTTTCATCAAGAAAATGAAACCAAAAAACTATGGAAAAATTATTTTTTATAGAATAAGTTGTATAGAAAAATCGAATTCTCTTGTCTTTTTCTATAGAATATTTTCTATTGAACATCTCAATAAAATCGGCCAAAAACTAATAGAAAGTTCAAGTTTTTCTATCAAATTTTTTCTTGTCTGAGTGTATTGAATGTAAATCTCCTCGAAATATATCTCTAATGACAATTGCCTCTTCATTTAAAATGCAACCTGTAATTCTCTCATAAACATCGATGAACTTGGCCGTGGCACGTCCGCCCACGATGATCGTGGAATTGCCTGGTCAGTTGCCGAGTATATTTTTTCTACAAACTAGTTCCTATCGAACATCTTTTCTGAAAAAAAGACAGATGCGTAGTAAACACGTACAAAAAAATTTCATAGAAAAACCTAGCGAATTCGCTAGACAATTCTATTGGATGCTTTTTGAATGTTCTATTAGTTTTTGGTCAATTCTATTGAAATGTTCATTAGAAAATATTCTACAGAAAAAGTCAATAGAATTCGATTTTTCTCTGCGACTTAGTCTATTGAGACCCCCTCTACTGGGTTCCCACTTTGTCGTAGTGAGGGGGCTCGGTCGCGGGCGGTGGAGGTCTTAAGGACTACCGCTGCCCGCGGTCGCTAAGAGGAGTCCACCCAATCCATGTGTGTGAGCGGCGTAAGCCATGGCCTCGGCCATACCGTGCCTAAGGATGCGTGGCACAGGGGGAGCTGTGTCGCTAACGGTGCCTCTCAGAAACCTGGGCGACCTCTGAGAGTAGTCTTGGGTGTAACCCACCCGAGACAAGCCAAGCCCTGGGCAATCGCGGCAATGCACCAGGTGAAAACGCTTAACCGCGGTACTCGTGGGACTAAAATGGAAACCAATTTAAAAAATCTTAATATTGAAAAAGCAACTTCGGGTGGGGCCAGCGATGGCGAACACACGAAGTCTGACAAGGCTGACCAGTCTGGTACCGATGTGAATCGGGTCAGACTGAGTGGAGCCGAGAGAAGACGTCGCAAGAGAGCGAAGCTGCATCAAACCTCGGGGGCGATTGCAACCTTGACGGATGCAGCAGCGAAGGTCGATGAGGGAAGGGGGGAGGGGGCTACGAGGAAGGCAATAAAACGCCTTCCATCAGAGCGTACTACGCCAAGCCCCTCAGTCAGACCGAAAGAAAAGAGAATGAGAACGCAGGATCAGGGCACATATGCTCAGAACACTACGAGCTCATTCAAGTTTGCAGTTATGCCGGAGTCATATCCGGATCAGAAACTGGGCACTGAAGAGGTAACGGAGGTGAAGAAACTCCTGAAGAGGGCCATTCTGGCGTTACCTGACGGGGTGAAAGCACCCACCTTCAACGGTGTCTGGGAAAGAGAAGGTGTGGCAATGGTGTGCTGCACTGATGAGGAAACGGGAAATTGGCTGAAAAGCCTTTTCCCCGAAAACAAAATAGCTGGACTTACTGTACGTGTGGTCGCAGCCTCGGAGCTTCCCAAGAAGCACAGGGTTGTACTACACGTGGAAGACCCAGATCTAACCGCTCAAGAAGCACTGTGCTTCCTTGAGAAACAAAATGCAGGACTGCAGGCCAGAGAGTGGGTTGTCGCTCGGGGCAGTGAGAGTAGGGACGCGAAAAGTGCCCACTTCGTTGCGCTGATAGACGACCGATCACTCTCTGTTCTGAAAGCCTGCAACTTCAGACTGCACTGCGGGATTCAAAAAGCTACTGTCAAGCTGCTTGCGAAAGACCGTGGTGAAAGTCAGAAGAAGGGTACATAGAGGTACCAGGAAAGTAGTCATCATTATGGCTGCAACCCGGGTGCACATTGTACAGATAAATTTGCACCACAGCAAAGCAGCCTCGGCTACTCTAGTCAGGCTGTTAGCTGGGATGCAGACTGTCATAGCAATGATCCAGGAACCATGGATAGTGGACAATGCTATTAAGGGCCTCAGTGGTTGTGGCAGAATCTATCACGCAAACACTCAGGAGAAAATTAGATCTTGCATTGTTATTAAAGGACTAGACTCTTTCTTCTGTTCACAGGCTAGTGAGGGAGACCTGGCTGTGGCACAAGTGGATCTGGGCCTGGGACAAGGCGAGGAAATGAGCCTGGTTGTAGGGTCAGTTTACATGCCCTATGACTCGGCTGAACCACCTCCTTCGAAAAAAGTAAAGGACCTATGCAACCATGTGAAGGAAAGGGGACTTGAACTCCTGCTAGGTTGTGATGCCAACTCGCACCATGTAGCATGGGGGAGCACCGGCATTAACGGCAGGGGGGAAAGCCTCCAGGAATTCATAATGGGGGCCGGTCTAAACATCCTTAATAGGGGGTCAGAACCTACCTTCATAGATCGGAGACGACAGGAGGTCATAGATATCACTCTGGGGACGGATAGAGTGGCAGACATGATTGGGGACTGGAGGGTCTCAAAGGACCTCTCAGCGTCCGATCATCAAACCATAAGAATGTCCATCCACACAGTGAAAGAAACGGAATGGGTGAGAAACCCAAGACGAACAAACTGGGGAAATTACCGAGAGAGTCTATCTGACAATCTCAGGGATATCATCCTCAGATTTAACAACAAAAAGCAGCTGGAGGAGGCTTCGATTGCCCTAAACCAGGCCATCATGGACTCCTTCGAGACAAACTGCAAGCTTATCCCGAAAGGGCAGCCCACTGAGACTCCTTGGTGGTCAGAGAGGCTCGGTGGGCTGAGGGGCAAAGCTAGAAAAGCTTTTAACAAAGCTAAGAACATGAGAGCGGGCCCCCGTAAGGAAGACGCATGGAAAACTTACAGAGGCTTGCTCGCAGATTACAACAAGGCAATAAAGGCAGCCAAAGAGGACTGCTGGAGGGCTTTCACAAGCAATGTGGAGAGTCAATCGGAGACCTCTAGGCTGGCAAAAATCCTTGGAACAAACAAGACTCCATATCTAGGGAGCCTACAGGCACCAGATGGCAGCCACACGGAAACCATGGGAGAGACTCTGAAACTCCTAATGAACACCCACTTTCCAGGCTTCATACAGGCCCAGGAGAGAGATAAAGAAACAATGCAAAATCAGAGGGATGTCTACGAAACCCATGATTGGGCATTGGCAAATAAAGTAGTGCAGCCCTGGGGGGTCAAGTGGGCCATCAAAACCTTTGAACCCTTCAAGGCACCGGGACCAGACGGGATCTACCCAGCCCTATTACAGGAAGGGATAGAGACTATCACGGGACCCCTAACCAAGATACTCAGAGCTAGTATAGCCCTGAAACATGTCCCTAGTGTGTGGAATGAGACTAGGATAGTATTCATTCCCAAGCCGGGAAAAACCGGTTATATAAAACCAAAAGACTTCCGTCCTATAAGCCTCACATCCTTCATCCTGAAGACCCTGGAGAGGCTGGTGGATAGACACATCAAGGCCGGGCCCTTGGCTGACAGACCCCTCTCCCCCTGTCAATATGCATACAGAGAGGGAAGATCAACAGATACCGCCTTACATCACCTGGTGGGACTGATTGAGGGACAACTGGCGGTCAAGGGTTTTGCCATAGGCGCCTTTCTGGATATTGAGGGGGCTTTTGATAGCACTTCGAATCCGGCTATAGAAAAAGCCATGGAAGAACGACAGGTGTCCAAGACTATCATTGCTTGGACACAAAACATGCTGAAAAGCAGAAGACTGTCGGCAGGACATGGGAGGGTATGTGTGGAGGGACGTCCGACTAGGGGCTGTCCGCAGGGGGGAGTTCTCTCGCCCCTGCTATGGAACCTGGTTGTAGATGGACTTCTAAATCAACTAAGTGAGGCCGGCTTCCACGTCATCGGTTTCGCCGATGATGTGGCAGTTGTTGTGAAAGGCGGATTTCTGAGGGTGCTAAGGGACCTGATGGCAACAGCCTTCAATATCATTGAGGACTGGTGCAGGGTAACTGGCCTATCGGTAAATCCAGCCAAAACAACAATCCTGGTTTTCACCAGAAATTATAAACTGGAAAAGATCCAACCTCTGAAGCTAAATGGCTCGGAGATTAACTACACCAGCAGAGTGAAATATCTGGGTGTCCTCCTGGATAATAAACTCAGCTGGAAAGAACATATCTGTACTCAGAGAAATAAAGTGTTTGCCTCTATGTGGGCATGCAGGAGAGCTGTGGGCAGGACATGGGGACTCAATCCTAAAATGATGCTCTGGCTCTACCAAATAGTTCTACTTCCGAGACTGTTATACGCTGCGGTCGTCTGGTGGCCGAGGGTGAGTAAGACGGAAACAAGGAACCTGTTGAAAAGCCTACAGGGAACCTTCCTGAGGGCTGCAACAGGAGCCATGAAATCGACACCTACTGAGGCGCTAGAAATAGCACTCAGTATCCCACCCCTCGACCTTAGGGTTGTGAGTTGTGCTACCACAACTGCATATAGACTAAGGTGCCAACTAGAATGGAAGATGACGGGCCAAGGCCATACAAGGCTTAGCCTAATCAATGATCGACCCTTCATAGGTAAGACGGATAGGATTCCTAGGAAGTATCAGATCAGGAAAACTTTCAGAACGAGTATACCACCCAGACAGGAGTGGCTAGACTCGAAACGTAAACCAGGACCAAGAGAGGACTACTGATTTACGGACGGCTCTGGTTTCAATGAAAGTTTTGGGGCAGACATCTACCGTCTGAAAGATGGCTTCGGAGAGAGTTTTCCGCTGGGCCATCATTCAACCGTCTTTCAAGCAGAGATGCTGGGCATACTTAAGTGTGCAGAGTATCTGAACGCGAGAGACACAAAAAAGATGAAAATATTCATCTGCAGTGACAGCCAGGCGGCGATACACGCCCTGGAAAAACCCACTACAGAGTCACAGGTGGTGTGGGAATGCATGCAGGCATTGGACACACTGGGTAAAAACAACCGGGTCACCGTAACCTGGGTGCCAGGTCACCATGGGATTCTGGGTAATGAAGAGGCAGATAAGCTGGCCAAGGAGGGTACAGAAAGTGTGCCCTCACACGGCCTGCTTGGCATGCCCTTCGCAGTGGGAAAAACTCTTATTAAAGATCATTTCCAGCGGGATCATGTCAGGCGTTGGGAGAAAGTTGCGACCTGCAGACAAGCGAAACTGCTTATGAGAGGGCAACTAAGAGTTAGGACCAGAAAGCTTCTGGAGTTGCACAGAGGGGATCTGAGGGTAGCAGTAGGGCTCCTTACGGGTCATACAGCTCTCAGAGCTCATCTGTTCAAGATGAAACTTGCAGAACAAGAAGACTGCAGACTGTGCGGAGGCGATAAGGAGGGCGTCATCCACATTTTATGTGAATGCCCCCTATTAGCACTCCGTCGCTATAAAATCTGGGGCCAGGCTTTCCTGAAACCAGAGGACTTACAACAAGCGGCTGTCACCAGCCTTATTAGCCTAGTGAGAAACACAGGGCTGGGGCTGTGTGACTGACCGAAACTAAGGCGGAAGTTACAAAAGATCATATGATTTAGGTGACTCTGGGCGCTTTAAGTGACCAGCCGCACTTTTTCTATTCTATTCTTCTAGTCTATTGAGATATTTTCTATCGAATTTTCGTGGCTCAAATTTTCCAAGTTTTTGAAATTCTATTTTTCTTTTCATTTCATCAAGAGAATCGAACAAGAAACTTGGAAAATTTGAGCCGAGGAAATTGTATAGAAAATATCTCAAGAGAATAAATAGTGGTATAGAAAAATCGAATTCTTTTCACTTTTTCTATAGAATATTTTCTATTGAACAGTTCAATAGAAATCTAATAAAATTGTCTAGCGAATTCGCTAGATTGTTTTATTAAATTTTTTCGTACGTAAAAGCTGCAGAATTTGCCAATAGAATTGGCACAAATTCAATTTCATTCGAAAATCCAATTCTATTTTTCCAATAGAATTAGCTGCAGAATTTTCAATCGAATTTTTGAATGAATTTACTAGGTCTTCTTTGAAATTCGTTTCATCTGTGATTATATTGAATCTAATTCTCCTCGGAATATATTTCTAATAATGACAATTGTCTCTTCGTTTAGACTGCAACCTGTAATTCTCTCATAATCATCGATGAACTTGGCCGTGGCACCTCCACCTACGACGGTCGTGGAGTTGCCTGGTCAATTGCCGAGTACATAGCCAAGAAAATAAAAGCGTATTGTCTCTTCGCCACCCATTTCCACGAAATAACACGACTCGCCGAGGAAGTCCCAACAGTCAAAAATTACCACGTCACAGCTCTAGTCGAGAAGGACAATGTCACATTCCTATACTCGGTCAAACCCGGAATTTGCGATCAGAGTTTCGGTATTCACGTAGCTAAAATGGTAGAGTTCCCAGAGGAGATCATCGAATTCGCTAGAGCAAAACAGATAGAGCTGGAGGACGGAGAGAATATCGAGTTTGAGGGGTACAATTCAGCTGACGAGAAGAGAAAAATAAAAGCAGAGGGAGAAAAATTGATCGCTGGTTTCATTGCGAAATGTAAGACTCTGGATGAGTCTCTTCCTGAGGATGATCTGAAGAAACAGATCGAGACGTACAAGAGTGAAGTACTGGAGAAGAAAAATCCCTACATCGCTGCACTTCTCACTAGTGCATAAATGATCGTTCCATGCAGTATCAAAAGGGTGAAATTTGATAAGTCGACGTTGCACATCAGAGAAAAAGATTGAAGCATATTTTTTCGCCATTTTCTTCACCTTAAAAACTATTTCTTGACTTTTCACTCAAGAATGATTAATTTTCAAGATTAAGGCCCGGGTGTACCATCTTTCGAAATCCAAAATTGTCAGTTGAGTGGTACATCATGTAGAAATTCCCAAAAATTATGATAGAATGATTAAAAAAAAAATACAAAAAATTCTGAACTTTTCAAAGAGCGTTCTTAATTGAGATTCAGAATGAGTTGAAAGAAGTGAAAATTACAAATATCTGATTCGCTGTGGCAAATTATCTATTAGCTGTCATTTTCCATGGTAGATAACAAAACTAACTCCTCATGGGAGTGACAGCTAGGTATCTCAATTTTCAAAACAGTGGTATGTAGTCATCTGCCATTGTTATGTGATAAAAATGTGATTAAAAAATTCTCCAAAATATTACAACTTTTTTCAAAGAGCCTTTTTCGTAATAAATGTCTCTGTGCAGTGTGGGAAAAGATTTACGAAATCAGTCTTCCCCCTGCATGATATTGGCTGACAGGCCGTCATTGGTCACTGTAAATCAGATACATTTTTCAATTTCTTGTTATTCAACTTATTCTGAATATAAATTAAAAATGCTCTTTGAAAAAATTGAGAATTTTTTCTACGTTTTTTTGATTATTCATTCATAATTTTTCAAAACTTCTGCATGATGCAGGACTTAATTGACACTTTCAGATGACGAAAGATGAAAGAAAACCATGGAGATAACGTTTGAAAGATAGTACACCCGGGCCTTAAGCATTAACGAAAATTTCTACTTGTTAAGTTTTATCCTTCTTTCACAGTTGGATTGCGCAGATATGCTCAGTATTACATCCGAAAATTCAAAATACTCTGTAAATTCATCATTAATAAATGAGTTTTCTGCTTTTTGTAAAAATCATTCTTATTATTTTTATTTTTAATGAAATTTATTGCAAATTCCAAGGAACTTGCAACTGGCCATCGCTTGGGGGCCTCCAGCCAAGTATTAGGTGTACAAATTAATAAGGTGCTTTTTTTCATGAAAATCAGAGTTTATTATAAAAAAACAAAAAGACATTTAACAGTCGAAATATTCCCCATTATTTTCGATGACTTTACTCCACCTCACTGGCAACTAACGAATTCCTTCGCGAAAGAAACTTGGCGGTTTTGACTCAATAAATTCATCGATGCTTTTTCTGGCAACTAACGAATTCCTTCGCGAAAGAAACTTGGCGGTTTTGACTCAATAAATTCATCGATGCTTTTTCGGACCTCGTCGATTGTTTTGAAGTGCTCATCAGCTAGGTGGTGTTGAAAAGACCGAAATAGGTGGTAGTCGGATGGGGCGAGATCAGGCGAGTAAGCCGCGTGAGGGAGAACCTCCCATCCTAATTCACAGATAATATCCTTAGTCGCTTTGGCAACATGCGGTCGAGCGTTGGCATGTTGGAGAATCACTTGTCTACTTCCGCTGCCAGTATATGGCCTCTTGCTCCAATGCATCATTCAAATGAATAAGCTGTTGTTGATAAACCTTCGCAGTAACAGTTTGACCAGGTTTAAGTAGCTCATAATATATCACACCCTTCATATCCCATCAGATAGCATCACTTTTCTCGCATAGACATTGGGTTTCGGAGTCGACGTCGATGGTTCGCCGGGATTCACCCACGATTTTTTGCGTTTAGGGTTGTCGTATAGCACCCACTTTTCGTCGCCCGTAATGATTTCGTATAAGAAATCTTTTCTTTTAAATTGAGTGAACAGAGATAACGCCCTCTCCAGTCGTCGCTCCTTATTTTCGGGGCTCAGATCATAAGGAACCCATCTACCCTTCTTTTGAATTTTGCCAAGTTGATGTAGGCGATGAGAAATGCATTTTTGAGTCACTCCGAGTTGTAGTGCAAGCTCTGTTTGGCTTTGAGCAGAATTTTCAGCCAAGAGTTGTTCGAGTTCTTCATCGCCGAATTTTTGCGGTTGACCCAGCCGTTCTCGATCCGCAAGATCGAAATCTCCGTCTGTAAACCTCTGGTACTTTTTACACGTTTTATGTGTTACAGCGTTTTTTCCAAGAGCACTACAAATCATTTGAGTAGCCTCAGCAGCATTTTTCTTTAATTGAAATGCAAAAAGAATGCAGTGCCTCAAATGTTGCTTATCGACAGATATTGTGTTTACTACTATCTTTTAAGATTATGTAAGAAGTATTTACTGCTTCGCTAACTGAATACTACCAACATACAAAATATTGAAATATTAAGTTTTTGAACGCAATTATAAACCACGAAATATAGGGGTTATTAATTATTAATTTGTACACCTAATATTTACATTTTATGTACCTAATAGTTGATACAAAAAGAAACAGTCTGTGTTCATTTTGCTGAATGAGCATCGAGAAATTAAAGATAATTTTTACAAGATTGAGTGCATGATGAGATGGTACAGTATACAGCGATGATATGAAGAGTGAGGAGTTACAGAATTTCACCGTTTATTGTTAGAGATGAACAAGGCTTCCCCAGGAGTCAGATCCCATATTCTCCCTTCAGATGGTTTCGAGACTTTCAAATAAGGTGTGCTGAGGGTCTTTTCAACAAGACCTGATCCTAGGATTGCGTTTGTGGCCGAGGTTTCGGATATGGTCCAGTTTGCTAAGAGCAAAACTCGTTGTCAGTTTGTGAAATCTGTCGGTGATGGGTTCTATTTTAGTGCGTTCGTAAAGTAGTGTATTGGAGGGATTATAGAGAGGGTTATTCTAATTCTCTTAGAATTCTTTAATGCCTATAGGAGGTTAGGCGGTGGTTGAGGTGAATTTGAGAGTGAATTTCTGTGGTTCCCGGTAGCTTAGTCGGTAAGAGTGCCCGGCGCGTATCTGGGAGACCCGGGTTCGATTCCCGGCTGGGTGAAGCGGAAATTTTTTCTCTCTAAATTCTAATTCTCTTAGAATTCTTTAATGCCTATAGGAGGTTAGGCGGTGTTTGAGGTGAATTTGGGCGGATATTATATTATGAGCTCCGGGTCTCGGAGTGACTCTTATCGGGCCGGCGAATTTTTGTCATTTTGCGGAGGGTTCTTTCCGCTACGCCTATCATTTGAGTACCGAACCGGTCAAACGATTTAAGTCAATTTAGTCTTTAGTTGAGTCTTCCAGAAATACTTCCGAATTTAAGGGAGATAGCGAAATTTTCATGATAAACTTTTTTGTAGAGCGAATTGAGTGCTACCAAAATGATCCAGAGAAAAATTTTGCTATTTCCCTTAGGTCTCGAGATATTCATTGAAAACTGGCCAATAGCCAAAATCGAATTAAACCGTTTGACCACTTCGCTACTAATTTGTTTGGTACCAGGTCTGGACTACAGGAGTAGTGGATGGACATAATCTAAGATTGGCCAGCAATCTGCTTTATATATTTTAGTAATGTGTCATTCTTATTATATATTTAGATTCAACATCTTTCAAGAGGTAAAATCAGGTTCAGTTGTAAAGGTGCGAAGCCTTATACAACATGAAATTCTCTCAATAATGAGCTAGTCCCGACCTCACAAAAATCCCTGTCAGTTTTTCAGAGAGATTTTCATATGATTTTCCCAAAAGACATACCACGCTATTTCAATAGGCCAAAACTGTTTTTTTCCCTGGGGTTTGAATATGTTGCAGAAGAGGTCCAGAAATGCATGTGAACGTGAGGAAAACAATTTTTTTGCACATGTTACGGGAAAAACAAAATGTGATGTGTCATCAAGTAATTGTTTATAAGGTAAATGTACCTAGGCCCGTCCCTAACCCTATGCTCGTTCAGATTTCACGAGCAATTACATTTTAATGATTTTGACAGTCCCAAGAATCTATTAAGAGTGAAATACAATTAGCGTTATTTTTGTTAATAACGTAAGTTATCGACATCGATGAACCATGATTTATTGAATAATAACAGAAAAAATCACATTCACATCAACTGGTGCTACGACAGAGTGAATTCTTCAGCCGCAAGTTAAAAAACTCGCAATTTTTAAATATAAAAATCCCTTCGTTAAAAATTCAATAAAATAAAAGAATAGCTACAATGGAGATGGTATGATCCTATGCTCGTTTTGCGATCAACTATCAACTGGTAACGGAATAAAGGGATGAATAAATCATTTAAAAGGTTGGAGTGTCTAATTGAAGTATGATTTTGTGCCTCGAGATATTTTTCAATGTTGTTTTAGCATAAAATAGGATACTCACGATATAGTTAGTTCTATACATGGGGTGAAACAAAATGAATGTGACTTAGTCAATTTATAGTACATTAGAGTACAAGGGCACAAATTTCGTTTTTAACGAATGTGTAGTTTACAGGCCGAGCCGAAGACGAGGTCTGTACACACATTCGTTGACAACGAAATTTATTACCGAGTGCTCTATAATATTTTATGTCAAGTCGTGCAGAAGTCACGACGCTGGTATGATTTGTTATTAATTTGCCATATCATGCGTTCTTGAATTTAATTGAAATTCGAATTTACAATTTTAAAAATATTATATAGCTCTTGAAGGGAGGCGCTGGTAGGGTGGTCCCGTACAAATACCTGAGCACCCATAATTATTACATGAGGTGTCTGAAAGAATTAAAATTCATATTAGCTACTTAGGTCACCCAGAAATTAAAGGCACCCATTTTTAGTTTCACCGTTAGTTTGGATATAACCTTTCCATATCACTCAAATAACGAGACGAGAATAGGGACATGTGTCAAACGTGCATGGGGACAAGTGAGCGAGCGTAGGGACCTGAGACTTTCCACATTTATTTATTGAAGAATAGCATTTATCATGATTAATATAAGTGAATTCCAATTCTGAAGGTTTTACCCTCTGATATCTAATTTAAACCATCGCATCTTCACGATCATTTCGATAGAAATATTGGACTAATGATGTTTTCACCTTAGCTAGCCGGGCGTATTAGGGTCGTTTACCTTAGCATCATGATTTGATAAATATTAGTTGCATCGAAAAACCAAAAAATATTGGTTGTATTTTTTTTGCCAAAGTGCGGTAGGATCAAAAAAGTCCAATTTACAATCAATTTCTTTGCCAACAAATTTAAATGTTGGTAAAAAACGAAAAGACAGCTCGCAAAAAAATCAGAAAAAAATATATTTTATGAAGTGCTTATCAGAGAATTCATTGTTAAATTTTCATCGACTAGGGTGAGCTACCCAGTAGATGGACAATGCCCTATAGATGGACGTGCTACTTTTGGATAGCAAATTACGCAAAAAAATGCTGAAATGTGAATTATTACTTTGAATTTGAACTAACTGTTGTGATTCTTAACCCCCGAATCGCGATTTTTTTTTGCAATTCCTAACAAACAAACGTCTATCTACTGGGCGGTTTTCTTAGGCGGCCATCTAATGGACAGTTTACCCTATTGCTATATCGGGTCTGAGATATCAATTATTTGGTGAGGCTACGCCGAGCTAATTTCACCGAGCGCGCTGAGTAAGACCGCAAGTAATGTCTCGTCTCCACGATAATTCTTACTAAAATATGGCAGAAAACTAAGACGACTAAGTTACGATATTTTCACTCGGTGGGTTGTGTTTTGTCTGAATAGTAATTTGAATACTTATAATGTTTATGAATGAATATAAACGCGTTGAGTCGTTTGATTTATCACTATCATTGCCCTAAAAATTGAATGCACAAAATTACACTAGCCCTAAAACTACTTGAAAACTTATATTGAGCTTATACTCATTATTATTAATGATTTGAATTTAACTCTATTAAATACAAGAGTTGGCTAGGTCGATTTAAAGGTTTGAATTGAAGCGCGAAATGAATCCGTGAATTGTTTGCAGTAGTCTACAGTTTACGATTTTCGGAAAAAGTGACTTGCCCTTGACCAACGAGGGTGGGAAGGGATTACCAAAATTTCATTGGTTACAAAAACCGTTGAGTATTTCCGCAAATGCAATTGGTCTGGGAAGGATGCGCTCATGAATTTTGGGTAAATTGTTCCATCTCAAGAACACTCAAATATATCGTTCTAAAATTTGATATAGGAATGTTTCTTGACAATCCTAACTATAACCCAAGGTTTCAAAATGTTTCCCTGAGTTTTACCTATATCATAATGCACAAAAGTGAATTCCAACAAAAAAAATAGAAAAACATAAATATCTGTAAACTTTTCAATGGGATGGTACACATATTTCGTTATATCTAGGTAGATGGCAGCAAGACGGACATTTTGAAAAAAAAAAGAAATCGGATTAGTAGTTTTTGAGATATTGAGCAAAAGAGTTTCACATACAAAGTTGAATATCTCCGAAACAAATGGTCCGATTCCGTTCATCTACAATTCCAAACGTTGTTATCATAAGACCTAAAATCATACCAAGTTTTAAGTTTCTATCTCAATTATTTTTTAAGTTATCATGCATACAAGCTATTTCAGTGAAAAAAAATGAAAAGACGAGTATACAAACTACATTGCTCCAGGTGGAATGGTCTTTTTTCGATCCAATTGAATAGATATCATCATGATGAGTATTTTGAAAAAAAATGGAATCCGTCGCATGGTTAAGGAGATATCGGCAATAAACGATTTTTGAGGAATCGTTATATCTCAGGAACCACTCAACCGATCGACCTGAAATTTAGCACAAATTTGACTATCAGTAGTGCCATGCAATTAGCAGCCAGAATTTTAGCGTCTTTGCGTTCATCGTTCTCGAGTTATAGGGACAATTCTGGACAACCGGACATAAATGTGCACACACTATACCTACACACATACAGAAATTTTTTTAAAACATCATTTCTTCACGTTTCATGACATTTCTAGGCATTTCCACAGAAAATTAGGAAATCGAAAAAAATCATGATTAACAGGCTTCCATTCGGAAGCAAAAGGGAGCATTGTCCAAAATTTCGTCCGTATATGATTTTTCTAAAATGCGTGGGATTTGAGAGTTTCCTCACGACTATGTCACTGTAATTTGAAAAACCTTGTTTATGTTTAGCCAAAACTCTGTTTTCGTTTTTGAACTTGAAAGTGAAGTATAGGGAGAGAGAGATTTGAGGGATTTTATAAAATCCCTCAAAACATTTCTGTAGCGAAGTGGTAAACTAGGATAACTGCAATTATTTTGAAAAATTTTCTATCGCTGGAATGGAAAGTTCTTTCAAACGTGGTCCAGTTGTTGAATTTTCCTGACAAAGTTTAATTTTTGCCCTTATCCTAGTTTACAACTTCGTTAGAGATTTAAAAAAAATCTACTTTCGTTTTAAAAAAAAAATTAAATAATAAAAAAAAAATTTATAAATAAAGAATGTTGATACGCAACAAGTGAGCCGCCCGGCAATTATACTGATTTTTCAGCATGTTATCTTTCTGAATTCTATTAATCGCAGAATTGTAAAACCTTGCCAGAGTATTATTGTTTAATATTCTTGAAATTTAGACGTGATTAATCATGACTCGTAACTTATGAATAATAATAACTAAAGAATGGCATTTCTTTGCAACGTCTCACGGAAAGTCATCTCGCGATACGATTGTATACAAAGACCGTATGACAATCAAATCATAACTCCACGAGAACTGTATGAATTCACCAAAGAATCGATGAATTCCATTGAAATGATCTTGCGTGCAAATAAAGAAGATGCACTAGAAAAACACGTAGACGGAAAAAAAGACCAAGAAAAAATAGGCTACCCCCTCCAAACGTGCTAAAACCCGCCCCACTTGAAAATTTCCCTTGGTCTATTTTTTCCGGAATCCAGAAAAACAGGCTTTGAAAATTCGATTTGAAAATTCTTCACCCGTCGTTTGCACTCGTCAATTTCATTGTTTTTTACTGATTAATAATAGCCTTAAATGTAACATTTCCTGGATGATAAATTCGAACTTTAAATCATTGTAAATATACTATTGTCACTGCGTTCACGAAACAACCACATGTTCACCAGAAAAATTCTCTTCGCCACAGGGAGGAAAAATACTAAGTGAAATGTATGCCGTTCCGAAAAACAGACATATAGGGTTTTTTTAATTGGGAAAATAATTGATTTTTTTTTAATTTCTGAACATCGACACATACAATTTATCAAATAATAACATTCAATTACCAAAAGATTCATGTGCTTATGGACGACATAGAGTCGTCACACTTTATGGTTGAAGTTTCATTGAAACATTTAGATTTAGGATGATAATTTGATAATTACTCAGATTGAATTAATGTAAGCAAGATGAATTTTGAACTTGAAGTGAAAAACATGAGACATGAGACTGATGATTTCCCATGAGTATCGAAATATACTATCACAATAGCACTCGCCTTCGGCTTGTGGCGGTTTGAACGATATTTTTAACGATATCACAAAGCACGCACGAAAAAATTTAATAGAAAAACCTATCGAATTCGTTAGAAAATTCTATTGAATTTCTATTCAACTTTCTATTAGTTTTTGGCTGATTTTATTGACATGTTCAATAGAAAAAGTCAACAGAATTCGATTTTTCTATATAATTTATTCTTTACGTATATTCTCTACAGAATTTGCTCGACTCAAATTTTCTAGGTTTTTTTCATTTTTCTTTTCTTCTCAAGAAAATCCAACGAAAAAACTTAGAAAATTTGAGCCGAAGAAATTCTATGGAAAATATCTCAATAAAATAAGTTATAAAGAAAAATTGAATTCTATTGACTTTTTCTACAGAATATTTTCTATTGAACATTTCAATAGAATCGGCCAAAAACTAATAGAACAGCTCAATAGAAATTCAATAAAATTTTCCAACGAATTCAATAGGTCTTTCTATTAAATTTTTTCGGCCGAGAGTGTGGAAAAGGGACGTTTTAGGCACGCGAAGCGTAACTAAAAAGTTACGTTTTCGCACGGCATGATGAAAAACTGTTTTTGCTTTTAGATTCTGCCTTGCCACATGTGGCATTTCGGTGGACAGGTAACAACGGCGATTTTTCGCTGTCATTGTCCACGTGAAGTCTATACAGCGACATGTTGCACTTGGTGGTTGTTGGGAAATCGTGCATGAGGTTTTTCTTGCAGCCGCGGTATGCGATTCCATTTCAACGATCGTAAACTCTTATAGAAAAGATTATAAATGAAAATGTTTATAATCAGAACATTTATAATCATTTGGTTGATGTAAATGATTCATTTGAAAATCAATAAAGAATTTAAAAATTATTTCAGACATTCAGTAGCAAAATTTTACAATAGAATCGGCGAAAAATCAATAGGGGTGGGTGGGGCAAAACGGCCCCCCTTCAATTGTCAATAATGTCATGTTTCAACTTCATTTTGAAGATAATTTTTCATTCTTCAAAACGAGCTCTAACTCATCCCAATCGGATTATTGAATCGGGAAATATTGACGATTGAAGGGGGGCCGTTTTGCCCCATCCTCCCCTACAAGTCCAACCGAAATTCTATGAAATTTTGTCGTACGTCAGTTCGAAAAAAGGACTAGCTTCTCGCTCTGATCATAGATGATAACATTACAAAATTTCCAAACCGGTGGTATTATATGACGTAACCTTGAACTTGACTAGCGTATTGGTTTCTCTCGGATTGGTACCCGGCTGAAAGTTCACAGATTGGGAGTGTCACATTTCGTGACTTTTCACGGCAGTGTCGCTCGCGCGGTGCTCCCGACGGCTCTGATAATTGTAACTCCGTTCTGTCGTGCCCCATTATTATATTAATAATTGGTAGGTGATAATCATATCAATTAAAAATGGATCCAGCTGTCTTCCCGGAGGAGATATGGATCAAAATATTGCTCTACTGCGATGTACCTGATATTATAGCCTTCGGTAGTACTTGCAAATATCTGAGGAAAACATCGGACACCGATTATCTCTGGTAAGTGAGGTTAACTCATGTCAAATCATTAATTTTCCAATCACTCGGCACCGACAACTCCCTTATTATAACATAATCATAACTTCAAAGGTGTTTATCCATTTTCCGAAAATCCAAGTTTTTTATGTTTGAGGAAAATTCGGCATTTTTTGCTTCCGAATGGAAGCAGTGTAATTGTTCAAATTTAAGTTTTGAATTTTTTGTGTTAGGTATATTGATCCATTATGATCCAAAAAGTTCGAAAATGCAGTTTTTAGACCGTGTCCGTACGCCTGTGTATATATATATATATATATGTGGTAAAGTTTTTCTTTAATTGTTCGCTAATGAATGGATGAAATTGAATCTTCTTTTTTCAAATGTAGTTATTGTTGAGCCCTACGCCATTAATTAAAATTTAATCCATCGATTAGTTTTTTGAATTTTTTCGAAAATCTGTTGTCCCACTATAACTAAAAAAAATGTTCTGAATTGATTGAATGATGGCTTAAAAAATTTGTTTGGGAAGTCCCTTTCACTGCGTTCGAAGAGGAAGGCGATAGCAATAATCGTTATTTTGATTTATTCGAATATTTTCAAGAATTTTGCATTTTTTGAAAATCAGAATTCCGGGATATTTTTGAATATCATGCTTCAAATCAATTCAATCGTAGCTTAAAATGTTTGTTTTAATTCTGTTAAGGCGACGTTAAAAGATGATTACGATAGCTATATTGGTTGATTTGATTTTTATGATGATTGTTGAAAATTTTGAATTTTTCATGAATTTCCTTGAAAGTGAGCTTTCTGATGGTTTCTTCAAATGTGATGTTTCAAAATCATTCAATTATGTGTAAATAAAGTTTTCTATTAATATTTTATCGAAGGGCTGAGGAGAGAGATAGAACTGTAAAAAAAACAATCGGTTGTATAGAAGAAAAGGGATAAGAAGAATAATGATGCTGGTAACATTCAACTAAGTTGAAAATCTGACAAAATTAGGTAAAAAGAAATCTTATTCAATTTAATAAAATACATGATAGAAGGAAATGATATACAAAATAACAATTCGAAGCATATTGCTAATTTATTAACAAAAATAACTATATTAGATGAGGTATTCCATGCCAAATGAGTCAACGGCCGACCCTCACCCTCTTGAAAATTGATGGCAATTTTTTCTACGATTGGGGGGCTTGAAAAACTATCTCTCAAATTTTTTAAGATTTTTTTGACAGCCCAGTTCGGAGATTTTTTTTTTTCAAATTGTTCGGTTTTTTTTACAATAACTCGAGTTCTACTCATCTGTTTTCAATTTATTAGGGATCAAAATTTTCCATTTTTCACCACCACCAAATTTTTTTTTTCATATTTCGTTTTAAAAAATGTTTCCCAATTTCTCCTATTTTTATGTTTTCATTCAAAAATTCATTATTTATGGTCCATAAATACACTCAACTAAACGCAAAATTTTGTCAAAAAACTTACAAAATTAAAAAATTAGCGTTGTGGGCATAGGAAAATTTGAAAAAAGAATAGAAAAAAAAATTACCCCACACATATACATAAACACATAGCTACGGACACCGTCTAAAAATTGCCTTTTCGAACTTCTTGAATCATAATAGGTCGATATAACACAAAAAATCCAAAACTTAAATTTGAACGATTACAATGCTTCCTTTCGGAAGCAAAAATTGAGTGCCAACAGTTTTGGATAAACATCCTTAATCCATATATCAACAACAAAATGTGGACGTCCGCATAAAAAGAAACCACTGTCGATTCTAGTTTCCGAGATATTCACGTTTTTTGTCTCAGCAACTCCCATTTACATCAATATTAAATAATTTTTTTCATCGTCTCCAGCGACGTCATTGTTGACCCTATGAGGATCATTTTAGGCTACAAATGTGCTGAATATTATCAATATGGATTTGATGAATTTATTCGGCTTTGCGGTCATTCGTGGTTCCGTCGTGCTACTATTTGAATCCCATCAAATGCGAACTTTAAACTGAGAAAGGGACGCAATTCATTATCCATTCACTCCCAGTGGTTCAGGAGATGAGATTCACAGCTCGACAATGTTTTAATTAGTCGAAACACAAATTTAAAAAATTCAGGGCTCATCGCGTCGATCGAGTGGGATCAATATTATCAATATTACCAGAGCATACATAACTATATTCACAAAGTAGTCCTTGTTCATGCGGACGTCCACAAATCACACATGAAAAAATTGAATATAAAATCTACAGAATTCGCTAGAAAATCCTATTGGAATTCTATGGATTTTCTATAGGATTTCTATTGGAATTCTATTAAAAAATTCTACTTATTTTTTGCACTGATTCTATTGCATATTTGGCAGGAAAAAGTCAATATATTTTGAATTTCTGTTCGAATTTTTCAATCGATCTAAGTCGACTTAGCTTCCAATTGAGTTCTCGTTGAATAACTCGGAATTTAAGAAAGATAACGAAATTTTTGTAAGATCTTTTTCGATAGTCTTCACTTTTCTTTGCAAAAAGATTTTTAAGAAAATTTTGCCAACTCCTTTAGAATTTGAGATATTCATCGAGAACTGGTGGTACAATGGAATTGACTTAAACCGTTTGACCACTTCACTACTGAATTATTGGGCACAAATTTTCCAAGTTTTTTCCGCCTGATTTTGTTTTGTTTTGCATTGCAAAATTCGAGTGGAGAAAACGTAGAAAATTGATGTCCAAGCATTCTTATAGACTAAATCTCAAGAGAAAAATTCAAATAGAAATTCGAAATCTATTGACTTTTTCTTATCGAATATCCAACAGAATCAGCGCAAAAAACAAATAGAATTTTTCAATCGAATTCCAATAGAAATTCTATAGAAACCCCCACAGAATTGTCCAGCGACTTCGCAAAGTTTTCTATAGAATTTTTTTATACGTGATATAACCGACTATCGCAGAAGACACTATATCAATTACCAATCGATTAATGAAAGCCCATTGATTCCCAGGAAAATGAAATGGCTCCAGTTGATATCAAAAGTCCAATTCCGCTTCCCAGACATAAAGTGTCTCCAACTGTTGAGTGTCAGCTTCAAATCCATGTGTTATCGTCTTCACATGGTGATAACTCTCGGCGAAAACCCACCATTCCCAAAATGCTACCACTGCAGTGGCTATACCTGTCAACGCAACTGTGTGGAGGGATCCAGTGCAAAAGTTGTGATAGAAATTGGCAACAAATATACCTGGGTAATAACCCCTCATTTTGGTCTACGAAGGCACTTTTCTCTCTTCGGCATTCCCAAGTGCGACAGCAAAACCCACACAACGTATCAGGGCCCTGTTGACAAAGCCCCGAGTGGCAGTGGAACGAGTCGAGTCAAGTCTGATTACAAATCAATAGCTAAGAAATTGAAATCCCTGAAATTATCGGAATTGACAACGACGAAGGGGCCTTGTACATATAAACCGAGTGGTCCATTCTGTGTTTTTTGTAATTCTGTGAAGCTTTACAGGGAGAAGAGAAGATTGGCTGCACATCCGTTGGAGTCCATGTGCTATGCAAAAACAAATCCACTTTATCAGAAACTCGTCAATGGATATTGCACAGATACTGTTGAAGTGCTTGGAATACCAAATGTCGATGTGGTGAGTCCAGCAGAGGCTCTCCTCAGTGAGGGATCGTTTCAAGTCCTCAAGACATTCGTTGATCATCTGTTTCATCAGATGGGATTGACTGCTACCCTGAGAAAACCCAATGCTGTTTTAATGTTCTGTGAACCTTTGGCGATGCATCCTGTTCTTCGAAAACAGCTGCTGCATTATTTGTTTCAAGAAGTCAAGGTTGCCAGGGTGTGTTTGGTACCCAAACCACTGGCTGCGTGTGCCATGCTTGATGTTGAGACCTGTGTGGTGGTGGACAGTGGGGCGTTGAGTACGACTGTTGCTGTGGTTATTGGGGGGAGGGTGATGCCCCATCGGTGGAGACTTTTACCTGTTGGGGGGTGGCATGTGGCTTATCATCTCAAGCAAGCCATGCACTGGCAGCCCAAGGAGTATCATCAGATACCGATCTCTCATCTCGATACGATGGCTGTCAAGGAACGGTGTCGGTTGAGCTATAATATCGAGAATGAGGACATGAAACGGGGACCTGTTAAACGGGAGCATATCAATCTTAGGGTTGATAGCTATGCGGATTATAAACAATTTTGGGTAATTAGTGGGTTTATCTTTGGGATGAGGGGGTAATCACTCTGGAAAAAATTGTACGACGGATTTCAAGACAACAATTTTTGAAGGATTCTGAAACATTTTTGGGGGTTCCAAATCTCTAAAAATTCAGACAGAGAAAAACAGCACAGCTGTCAAGCAAGTCTTACTTGTGCCAAAAAAATTGTTTGTTAAACATTAGGGGAGAGGGGGGCAAAACGAAACAGTCGAAGTACGACTGTTTGACGTAATTGAAGCAAAAAACAATTTTTATGAACTTTTGTTTATTAATTTTTTCCTTCCGAATGCACGCATTGCAATCCTTCGATTTTCACATTCTCTAATTTTGATTGCAAATGATATAGAATAGTCTGAAACGTAAAAATACGAAGTTTGACGACCATGTCTGTATATGACCACGTCCACCGCCCCCTTCCTGGTGATCAGTTGTTAGAAAAGTGAGTAATTAAGTGGCTAAAGTAATTCCAAAAAATATGAAATTTTGTCAGATTATAGGTCTTAATGAGGACTAACTCTATGCAAAATTTCAGCTCGATCGATCTAATAGATTCGTTTTTAAATCTTTTTCCGCAAATATCTTCAAAACTAGTGGACCGATTTCGATTTTTTTGTTTTCAAAATATTCGCTTCAATGCCTTCTATCTACAGTAATCAAAACATATACACCCGTTCATACAAAGTTTTTGAGATATTCCCATTTTCCCGTTTTTTCATAGGAAAACTTTGTAAACATTCTAGCTTGTGCAAAAATCGAGATATCAGCTTGAAATTTGGACAGAAAATATGTATACCCGCTCATACGAACTTTTCGAAACATTGGAATTTTAATAGCACCCATGGAGGTGGCAGTAACCATCTGAAATTTTTGCTACTATTTAGTGTTGTAAAACTATAAAATTGTAATATTTTAGACCATTCGGAAGCTCGTCATCAATGTATTGATGGCAAAAAAAATAAAACATCACTCAGTGACATGTTCACTGTCACATGGCGCGCTATCATATGCTCGCTGTCCCCTTCTTGCTTTATTATTGGGACTACTGATGAAAATAATAATTTTCCATTCACTACAATGGAATAATAATTTTCTATTTTCTATTTTTTATTTTGATTACAAGAATTACTGAAAAACGACGAGCAAAATAAAACGCGACATAATTTTGGAAATTAATGTTTTTCCACTTTTTTTCTTGAGAATTCGGTATTATGAGCACCTAGGGGTTGAACAAAAATACTGAAAATATGCTTATAGATGGTAGAAAATCGAAAATTTTGACGTGTCATAAATCAAAATCGGATGAATAGAACTGGAGTTATTGAAAAAAAAAAAAAGAAAAAACAAAGAAAAAATCATATCTCCGAAATGAGCTGTTAAAAAAATCTGAAAAAATTTAGAGATAGTTTTTTTAGTCCCCCAATCGTAGAAAAAACCGAGATCAATTTCCAAGAGGGTGAGGGTCAGCCGCTGACTCATTTGACATGGAATACCTCATACATTTCTTGTAGCTCATAAAGTTCTTTGAAAATATTTGTAGAAACGCAATTCATAATTTTGTTTCATGCTTTTCTCTCATTCAATTCACAGAAAGTTTCCTTGGGACCAGAGCTCTACATAGCCCCAGAGATGATGTACATCAGTCTGGGCCTTCCTCAGATAATAAAAGACGTAACAGCAGGACTCAGTGAAGATCTCATTCAGGATTGTCTCTCGCATATTCTTCTGACCGGTGGCAATACCGACCTGTCTGGCTTTGCACTCAGGCTTCGAAAAGATCTTCGTGAAGTATTACCGGAGTATGGATCAATACTTGAAGTACGAAGTTGCCCTGGTACACACAGTTGGAACGTTGCCATGGGATCCACGTATGTGCCACTGGCCGTTCACCCCGGTAATTATTATCTGATTATTTCATCAATGTCAGTTTGACTAGGGGAAGACAAGGCATGAAAGCCGAAACCCGCATGATTGGAGAATTTCAAGAATTTATTCAGTCAACGTATATCCAAAGAAAACGGGTTTTTCTTACGATTGTCAACATATTTTTTTATAGATAATGTTTATAATGTTCCCCAGCTATTGACAAAAATTCAAACTAGCTGTACTATACAGTTTAGGAGATGATAAATAATGAAATGCGGGTTCTAGCATGCGAGGCATAGGTCAAACGGGGGTTATAGGTCTTCTCGAACTCGATTTTTTCATCCTATGGAAAAACGGTTCTCACGATGCTTTTAAAAAACAAATCCGTGGTAGATTGATAAATTCCGAATACGGTGAAATTTTTGTAAAATTTTATAGTACTTAGTTCTGCGATATTCAACTCTAAACAAGTGGGAAAATGCTGTTGTATTGTATATAGTATAGTTATTTTTGCTAATAAATTAGCACTATCCCTCCGAATGGTTATTTTGCACATCATTTCCTTCTATCGTGTATAATTCATTACTTATTTCATTTTATTAAATAGAATAAGATTTTTTTTTACCTAATTTTGTCAGTTGATAATCTTCAATTTAGTTGAATGTTATCAGCATCATTATTCTTATTATCCCTTTTCTTCTAAACAACCGATTGTCTTTTTTAGTTCTACCTTTTCCCTCAGCACTTCGATCAAATGTCAATAGAAAAATTTTATTTACACATACTTGAAGGAATTGGAAGCATCACATTTGAAGAAACTATCAGAAAGCTCACTTTCGGGGAAATTCATGAAAAATTCAAAATTTTCAACAATCATCATAAAAATCAAATCAACCAATATAGCTATCGTAATCATCTTTTAACTTCGAGTTGATGGCATCAAAACAAACATTTTAAGCTATGATTGAATTCATTTGAAACATGATATTCAGAGATATCCCCGGAATTCTGATTTTCAAAAAATACAAAATTTTTGAAAATTTTCGAATAAATCAAAATAACCATTATTGATATCGCCTTCATCTTCGAAATCGGTCAAAGGGACATCCAAACATTTTTTTTAAGCCATCACTCAATCAATTCAGAACATTTTTTTTAGTTATCGCAGGACAACCGATTTTCGAAAAAAATCCAAACATTAAAAAAACGAATCGATGAATTAAGGCCCGGGTGTACTATCTTTCGAATGTTATTTGCATTTTTTTATCTTTTGTAATCCAAAATTGTCAATTGAGTGGTACATCATGTAGAAATTCCCAAAAGTTATGATAAAATGATTTAAAAAAATAGAAAAAATTCTGAACTTTTTCAAAGAGCGTTTTTAATTGAGATTCAGAATGAGTTGAAAAAAGTGGAAATTACAAATATCTGATTCGCTGTGGCAAATTATCTATTAGCAGTCATTTTCCATGGTGGATAACAAAACACTAACTCCTCATGGCCAGTGACAGCTAGGTATCTCAATTTTCAAAACAGTGGTATGTAGTCATCTGCCATTTGTATGTGATAAAAGTGTGATGAAAATATTCTTCAAAATATTACAACTTTTTTCAAAGAGCCTTTTCCGTAATAAATGTCTGTGCAGTGTGGGAAAAGATTTATGAAATTAGTCTTCCCCCTGCATGATATTGGGTGAGAGGCCGCCATTTGTCACCGTAAATCAGATACCTTTTTCAATTTCTTGTTATTCAACTTATTCTGAATAAAAATTAAAAATGCTCTTTGAAAAAATTAAGAATTTCTTCTACTTTTTTTTGATTATTTATTCATAAGTTTTCAAAACTTCTGCATGATGCAGAATTCAATTGACAATTTCAGATGACGAAAGATGAAAAAAAAATCAAGATAACCTTCGAAAGATGGTACACCCAGGCCTTAAATTTGAAATGAATGGGGATCGATAGGGCTTAATAATACCTACATTAGCGAAGAATTGAAGAAAAACTTTAGCACACACATACGTACGGACACGGTCTAAAAATTGCATTTTCAGACTTTTTGAATTACGATGGGTCAATATAATACAAAAAATCCAAAACTTAAATTTGAACGATTACAATACTTCCATCCGGAAGCAAAAAGTTAAAATAGGATGAAAATTGTGATGCGATGAGCGATTTGAAACTAAAAACGAAATTTCACCTCGACATTTGGCTTCGAAATGCTCTTTGCACCACAATTTTTACCCGATTTAATTCGTTTTTATTTTCCTTAGATGCCATGGAATAAAAATAGGTAGTTTTTACATTATCTCGAATAGATCGTGCAAAAATTTTTTTTCTTCTCAACAACCGAAGATGTCCAAGTTTCACCTTAGTACCCTTAATAAATCTTTGCATTTTCATTGCAGATAAAACACCACCGGAATATGTCGAGGGCAATCCCTTCTGGTTATCTAGAGAGGAATATGTTCTCTTTGGATGTCAATCGCTGGAGTAAAGAGTGAAGTAGCTGGTGATTATCATAATTAAGAAAGAAATTAAATCCTGTTACTAACTGATGAAGAACAGGCTATGAATTAGAGAATTCATTCAAATTCGCTAGAAAATTCTATTCAACTTCTATTCAAAATTCAATAAGTTTATCGTCGATTTTATTGAAAAATTCTGCAACTCTTCTGTGCGTTTTTCCTAAATGAAATGTTCAATAGAAATTATTGTGTGGAAAAAATCATCAGATTTAGAAATTTCTATATTAGTTATTCTATTGCGATATTTTCTGTAGTAATTCTTTGGCACATATTTTCCAAACTTTTTCGCTGTATTTTTTCTTTTTCTCATTAAGGGCCGGCCGCATCAGAATATATATAATCAAAGGGATTCCTATAGAGAATATCTTCATAGAGTAAATTATTTAAAGAGTTCAAAATCTGCTAATATTTTCTATTAAACATTTATCCATTTTTAAGGAGAAATCGCGATGAAATTTGATAGTTTGGGGATTGTCTATACCATGCTGATAATTTTACTACTTATTTTTTATATTTCAACAATGAGAAAAAATCCAGTTTTTATTTTATTTTTTCATTGACGACATGTGGCTGTACAGGCATTTTGAGTACCACACATATGAAAAAATCGTATAGAAGTTTTCTATACGGATTGCGTGTAGAAATTCTGTAAGATTTCCGTATATGATATTCGCATATTTCTAAATGAATATTTTCTATACGAATTATTTCTATGCATAAATTTTTATATAAAGTTTTGTTTTCATATGAAAGATATCTAAACGCTCCAGAGAAAAACGAAAGAGAAATATCCGAATATCATATACGAAAATTCCATAGAATTTCTATACGCAATCCGTATAGAAAATTTCTATACGATTTTTTCGTACGTGCACATACATAGTAGAGTGACGAAAGAAAATATGTGAGCTTTTTTGAAAATTCCAATTTTTCGGTTTTTCCTATTTTTGCTTCCGAATAGAAGCTTTGTAACCGTTGGTTTTGACGATCTTCTAATTTTGCTTGGAAATGACGTAGATGTCACGTGAAGATATAATGTTTTCAGAAAATATGTGTATGTATGCCCGGATGTGTGCAAATTTTTCGAAAATTTTTTATAAATCTTCACAGAAAAAAGACTAAAGTCAAAGCTAAAAATCTAAAATTTCACCTTAATCTGTCAAGTATTTTCCGAGATGGAGCAATTTTTCTAAAATCTTTTTTCCTCAATATCTCGAAAACTACGTGACTGAATTGAATTTTTTTGACGTTAAAATATTTCTTGTAATAATAACTATCAAATCAAAGTACAATATTGCTGTTACTCGGGATAGTTTGGTAATAATCGGCATTTTTCGTTTTTACGAAAAAATCGTTCTGTGCACGATAACTCCCGAAATAATTTAGATAGCATCTTGAAATTTGGTGAGATTGTAGCTCTTATGACATTACAGGATGGGATTGTGGGTAGGTGAAATTGGACAAGTGGTTTAGAAGATATTTAACTTTTTGTAAAAAACTATTCTGTTCAATATCTCCCAAACTATAGGTCCGATTAATTTTTTTTTTTTTTTTTTCAAAATACTCGCCTTGCCGCCCCTATCAAGATCAATCAAAATATAAATATCCGTTCATTAAAATTTTTCGAAATATTCGCGTTTTCATATTTTTTTTCAATTGACAGTTAATGTGGCATTCCATATTACGCGTAAAACTTGGAATAAACACCCGCGATTCTGGTTACTAATTAATATTATTGAGTCACACTTGTGTATAAAATTTTGTGTCGATCGTTTCAACACATTCTGGTATAGAGCAATTCATCCAACACTCTTTTTTCCAAAAAGTCGCACATCGTCATTTTATATATTATTTTCGCCTCTGGAAGCTTATTCTCGACTTGTTTTACTCCGCATTGATGGAGACGATAATATTGTGGTGTGTTGCCAATTGCAGGCCATGATGCATCAATAAACTACAATTTTTTTGAATTTTTTCAATCACTCATTTGACAAAACTGCCATACTAATGATCAGAAAAATGAAAAAAATTGTAGTTCATTGGTGTCTCATAGCCTTCAATTTGCGCCATACTAAAATACTATTGTCTTTACAAATTTCGATTAAAAAAAAATAAAAATCGAAAAATCGAAATTGAAAAAAAATCAGATATTTTTTTCCGTCAATATATTACGTGTGGGGAAACCAAAATTCAAGTCAATCCATCAAAAATCCTGGTAACGAAAATGTTTCGAAGATTTTATGCCTGTACAGCCACATGCTGTCATAAAAAAAAAATTAACTTGATTTTTTCTCATTTTTTGAGTATAAAAAATAAGTACCAAAGTCATCTGTATGTAGCTCAATCGAAATCCAGCAGAATCTTCTAGAAAATGCGCTGATGTTTCTTTTTTTTCTCGAAACATCTTCGAATTTTACAGAAGTAGAAAATTTTCCCCACCAATGGAAGGAAAACTACAAGAAAAAGATGCATAAGAATGTTGATAAACCTCTTCTCCTTGAAAATATTCGTAAAATAATGGAGAAATCTGCTAGAGAATCATCTCCTGTTCTTCATCACTTCATCACAGGATTGAAAAAATGAATTGGAACAGGAATTGATATTAAAAGTGAATACTTTGTCGTCCTTACTGCGACTGAGATCGTTGCAATGATGAAATACACATATAGTTTATCCAAAATATTGTCTCTGAAACGTAATATTTATGAGTTGAGTTCAGACAGATTGATCTATAGACTTTATGACTTGTAACGGAATGTTAGGGACGATAATAAATTACTCACAGCTTTTCGCACTAAAGTAACTGACGAAAGGCACATTTTTAGAAAGTTTTAAATGATATTTATTGAAGTAATTTATTGAAAGTAGTCGTTGATGACAATATTAAATATTGTCAGAATTCTTTTCCTTTGGAAATTTATATACAAAGTAAAGTTTAAAGAAACCGAGTGATACGAGGCGATGAGAGCTTCCAGCTTTATAAATTAAATAAAATGAAAATTATGACGTCGTTAGAGTCGAAAAATATGTAATGAAATTGTCATTTTAGATGATATGATAATTTAGATAGACGTTTCTCCGAGCCCGATAAAATAATTGCATGAAAAACTTCGATCTCCCATTTTATCTCAGAAGTGAAAAATCGTTCTCTATCTGTAAATAATTCATTCAATTCTCACTTAGTCTATGTAAATAACAGCGATTGTATTTCAACTTCAATGGGAGTTCATCAATTTGACTAATTGATTATGAAAGAAAAGTATTATCTGTAGGAAACTGTATCTCAAGACTTTCATTCTTATACTTTGTAAATTTATATCAGAAAAATATGTCTTGCCAAACATGGAACATTTCATACAATTTGGACGTTCCGCGATATAAAAAAAAAAAACAAATCTTCTAGTCAGTATGAGAGCGTTTGAAATTGTTCATTCGATTGTGATTTTTCGAGAGTATGAGAGTATTTTTCCGATTAATTAATTACACAATTACAATCAGTTTAGAAGTTAAACTTTTAAAGTAAGTTTCTCCTAAATTGAGCTATGGAATCTTTTAATGCATAAGAATACATGAGGATATGATTTCTTTTTACGATTGTTTTTATATCGATAAGATTTATTATTGAATGAATTTTCTGTAGGTACAAAGTTGAATAATTAAGGGATTAATATTCTATATTTTATTTTATCTGTAAATAATAAAGATATATAATATATTATCTCATCTTTACATTTCTTTATTACATAAAGACAGTAAAACGTTTACATGCTAGACTACATTTTGGCGTATTTACAGAATACATGCACTTCCCTGTGTTGAGTATATTCACGCGTGCGTGCATGCACTTTTTTGGATATTCCGATTGTTTCTTTTATGGCCTAACGATAGATCTACGTCCTCGAAGATCATTCCTATTTCTTTAACGTTATTTCAGCGATTGGAGTCATACCCTGATACACAAATTGAACCGTAAACAATTTGATTCCAAGTAATAATCAATTATCAAATATAATTTATCCAAATTCATATTACAAAATAGAATTATATATAATGAAATTACAAAATATGTTCATCTTGAAATAAACATCATTTTCATTTTGGTACCGAGATTATTAACAGAAAAAAATAATTATTATTGAATAAGTTAAAAATTCAAATCTGCAATTCTATCAGATATTTACAATAATGAATATCAAGTTCGTATTCATTAATTACGAAGATACAATTTATATAAAGTATATTAAAAAAATTGATGTTTTGGGTTTACTTTATTTTTTAGTTCTAACCAATCTTGTTCGAAGAAGCGATACTTCCTCGAAATTCAAAGAAGAGTCTGTTTTAAAGCGTTTTTTCCTGTTCAGATCATTCTAACCAGTATCTTCATCAATAAATGAATTCCAATGAGATAATTGTGAGGATCATTTGCCAAGATTTTGATTCTCAATCACATGTGTTTTCTATTACACTTCACTATTGAAGGCACAACTAATGCACCTAATTTACGGTCTTGTCAAAATTTCCATAGTAAATTGATCGAAAGGAGCGAAGAACAAAAACGTTTCACGTCACAAATGATTTCCAGGTCATTTAGTCCTATTCAAAGTTCAATGGTTCAACTGTTTTTATTTAATTTACATCCTATGTACAAAAATTAGTCACCATCAGTGCATACACTTTAACATCGATCATTTGAATTCCAGGGGTGGATTCATTGTCTAAAAAGAGCAGTAGAAAATGTTTGATGAATTTTGGGATGATGTGATAAGACGTGATTAGTTCAAGGTGTCATATGTCATGTATTTTTTGTTTAATTTTTTGTAACTGGGATTTTTTTGTGGAGATGATCTCTCGATTTTTCTTTCTCAAGTCACTAATTTCCGAGATGATTACGAAAATCGTGAATATTAAGCGTGATACGGAGATAATTTCAGATGAATTTGGGAAGTAATATTGGGAGAAGTACACTGTCTTTTAAAACGTTCTCCTGAAGTACATCACTCTCGGTAGAAATCAATTTATATTCAAGTTTCCATAGTAAACATTTATAAAATAATTTCGAAGTTATCCCTGTGCGGATACACTGGGGTTACTCAGCAGCTCGAAGCATGCTCTAGAAATTTTCTTGAGAAATTTATGAATATTACAGGTCCAGCAGAATCAGCTAAAATGATGGTGTTTTCGCCCTCATGTTTTTTCATTCCATTGAGAAGTCAATGTCCTTCATTCCTCAAGCTGAATTATAGGAATTATGCGTGACAACAACGTCGGTTTTTTCTGATGAGTCCAACCGAAAAGAATTTGCAAAGCTTTTCAGAAACTTCATTTTTTTGAAATTTTTAAAATTTCTCCAAGTTTTCAAATAAATTTTTCATTAAATTGACTCACAAAAATTGCAATCGTACAGGTATGAATATTTTCAAAAAAGGATATCATAAAGATGTAACAATTCGATGTTGAGTTTCTAATGAGAGGTGCAAGCAGCAATAAGAATGGGGTGATAAGCAACCTCAGTGTATCCATAAAGGGTTAATTTTTTGTAGCTGAGAAATTTTTTATGGAGATGAGTTCTTCATCGCTCTTTCTCGTCACTAATTTCTGAGATCATCACATAAATCATCAAGATTAAACGTGCTACGGTTCGACAAAATTCGGACGTCGTCGACCTCAAAAACGGGATTGACCCCATTTTACAGCTATTTTGATGCTGATTTTAAATTTCTTTTGAAAAATCTTTCTAGTACGTATAGTTTTCATGAAAAAAAATTGAAGTGTTGAAAAGTGGCTAAAAAGGGCAATTAAAAAAATTAAGTAAAAAAAATTCGATTGGATGACAAAATTTCACAAGAAAAATCATCAAATTGGGACTTTTTCAGGATTTTTTTCACTTGTTTTGACTCAACCAATTGGGATGAAATGCAATCCACTAAACAAATCGCATTTTCATTAATGCATAGTTTTTTTCTGGGAAAAACTCCGTCCAAATTCATTTTTCACAAATTTTTCTAATTGTTCGTTTTATCATTTTTCAATTTTCAACATTTTTTTTCTCGAAAACTAGACGCGTAGAAAGATTTCTCAAAAGAAATTTAAGATTAGGATTAAAATACACATATTTTAACATGTATAAGATGAGGTTGGTTTGGTTTTCGAGGTCGAATACATCCGAATTTTGTTCAACCGTATAATCCAGATAAATTTGGGAAGGAACGTTCAGAGAATTCAATGTCTGTTGAAATTTCCTCCTAAATTAAATTTCATGGACAGTCGACTACTAATTTTAAGGACAGTGACCCTGAATGTGAATTAGGGAAAAAAAATCATGAAATTTCAGGTTGCACTGAAAATTTGGAAAAATTCCAGAATTTTAAACAGTATATAGACGAAAATTCCTTGATTTATTTAAATTTCCAATCCAATATGAATATTCAGTCCCAAATTACATTAAATTTTCAGTGAAATCTGAAATTTCCTGATTTTTTCCCCCTAAATCGCATTCAGTGTCACTATCCTGAAAATTCAGAGATATATTTACCGGAATTTTCTGGTTTTCCGTACATTTTCAGGGAAAATGGAACTAAAATTTGCTTTTCTCTTTGTTTTTTTCACGAAATTCTAAATTTTCAATGACCAAATTCCTTGAAATTTCGGTGGTAATTTAATTCGATAAAAATTTCCAAAAAGTGTACCGGAAATTTCAGACAAAAATTTTTAACAGTGCACTCCATCGAAATAAATTTATAATATTCACCTTTTTATAAAAAGGATTCACGAGATAATTTCATAATCAAACAGAATGGCCTAAGTCAACCAGTCACGTCTCATCACTTTACTCCAAAATTTCTACCCTTTCAAATCTCGAAAGAAAAAAAAATAGAATGACATGAAGTGAAGAGGTCCTAAAGAATGGCAAGTATCGATAGACGAGTAAATCTAGGGCAAATCAAATTTTCTAATGCACTTTTGAAGAGTTTCTTGGGTCATTGTTCGTTGAAGAGACTGGAAAGAATGAGAATGATCTCAGCAACACGAGGATTTGGCAGGTTCAGCCTCGACTAGATTGAAATCTAAACCGCCGGGACGCGCAAAACCCGTCTTAATACCGTCCCAACCGTCTTCTACTTTGTACTCGCCAGTTTTAATTCTATTGTAGACCTCCTGCGTTACGACACGAAATGCCTCGGTGACGTTAACTCCAGTCTTAGCGCTAGTTTCAATGTGATGTATGCCGTTTTGATCGGCGAATGATCGTGCCTCCTCTTTGGACACTTCTCTTCTTCCACCGTTGGTTACCAAGTCGAGTTTGCAACCGATGAGAGCGAACACGGGGCGATGGGGCTCTATGTGCCTGCGAGCTTCCATCATCCATTGGGGAATGTGTTCGAAACTCGCTCGATTGCAGACGTCGTAGACCAGGAGGGCGCCCACGGAATTTCTGTAGTAAGATTTTGTGATTGACCTGGCAGAACAATTGAATTTTCATTATGGAATCTCTTTGCTGGTTTGATTAATGCAATTCATGTGTGAAACAGAGGAAAAAAAATGTTGTTTTTACGGATATCTCCATAATTTTTTCCAGGAATTGATCCTTTATTTTTAGCAAACCAACTCTAATGTCTAAATTTGTAGGGATTTCTATCCTTAACTTTTGGGGATCTGGGCCTTAATTACAGTCAATTTTTTTATTACAGCTTCCGAACCACTCAAAGAAAAACCATTTAACAAAAATTAAAAATAATATCTCGTTCTATGATTTCACAGGTCTTAAAATAAGATTTTCAAAATTCTTCGTTTGAAGCTCGAAATTCTTAACTTGAGGGTTTCGAAAGTCTTAATTCTGTAGTGAAGTGGTAAACTAGGATAAGTGCTTTTTTTTAAAAATTTTCTATTGCTTGATTCGAAAGTTCTTTCAAAGGTGGTTAAATTTTTCAACTCTCCTGAAAAAGTTACATTTTTGCACTTATCCTAGTTTACCACTTCGCTACAGAATTTGAGATGGTAAGATCTTAATTTAAGGTCCGGGTCTACTATCTTTCGAACGTTATCTCGATGTTTTTTTTCATCGTTCCTCATCTGAAATTATCCATTAAGTCCTGCATCATGCAGAAGTTTTGAAAAATTATGAATGAATAATCAAAAAAAGTATAAAAAATTCTTAATTTTCTCAAAAAGCATTTTTAATTTATATTCAGAATAAGTTGAATAACAAGAAATTGAAAAATGTATCTGATTTACGGTGACAAATGGCGACCTGTCACCCAATATCATGCAAGGGGAAGACTGATTTCGTAAATCTTTTCCCACACTCCACAGAGACATTTACTACGGAAAAGGCTCTTTGAAAAAAGTTGTAATATTTTGGAGAATCTTTTAATCACACTTTTATCACATAAAAATGGCAGATGACTACATACCACTGTTTTGAAAATTGAGATACCTAGCTGTCACTTCCCATGGGGAGTTAGTGTTTTGTTATCCACCATGGAAAATGACAGCTAATAGATAATTTGCCAGAGCGAATCAGATATTTGTAATTTCCACTTTTTTCAACTCATTCTGAATCTCAATTACAAACGCTCTACAAATTTATATCGAATGACGAAGAAACACTGCTAGAAATGACATTTCTTACTTGCACAGAGGATACAAATTTTTTTGAATTACTAAATTTATTTGGGCGATAAGAATTTTTCATTATTTGGACAGACTTTAAATGGTCAGCCCAAGATTTTACTTTTTGGTCATTTTTAACTAACGATTTTTTTTTTGTTCAAACAAGACTCGTTTGAGAAAATTTATTTATTCTTTCAGTGTAGAATTATCCTAAAAATTAGGGATTCAACCAGTGAAATTTAGGGTCAAAATTCTTAAGATTTAGGATTAGATTTCTGGAAATTAGTGGTAAAATCACTTGACTTCAGAATTTCTCACTTGTTAAATTTCAGATTGCCACACATCCCTAAAAATTGAAACTTTTTCTCTATCAAGGATTTAATAGTAAATCCTAGAAATTCTATTAATGTTTGCTAATTTCTCTTCTAAATTCCCCAGCTTTTTTCACTTTTTCATAATCTGAAAAATCAGATAGAAATAATTCAATACGAGGATCGGAATTAAGTTTATCGTAAAATCGAACGTGATTGAAATTTTTACATCCATTATTTTCCAATGAGAGTGCAATACTCGTAACGTTTACTTCAGCGTTACTCCGAATATTTTCAGTCGCTGGAATTCCCACTAAGTATTGGCAAAAAGCTGATAGAATTTCCACTGGAATTCGCTAGCGAATGTTCTTCGAGGTTTCATTAGATATTTTTCACGTATATTGCAAAGATTATTGGGAGTGAAAAGCCAATTGTACAATGGAGTAAAAAATTTCAGTAATCGATACGCATTATTTTGCAAATATATTCAATTCTCATAACATCTGTCTATAATACAGGGGCTTTTCAACAAATTTGCAGCGAACAATTTACAATTGAATTCTAAAGATCTGATCATTTTCGGAAATTCGATAATCGTCAATATTGAATTGACGAAAACGATTCTGTATTACGAAAAGATGAAAGATTAATTGAAGAATTGATAGAGACTATACATTGAAATTTTGCATTATTAAAAATTTCATGAATTACAGCAAAAATCGCTTTACATTTTACTCTAAACTATCGACAGAAAATAATTTTTCGACAGAAAATATCTTCTAATAAATTTCCTTGCATTTGAACTTATTCTGACAAATTCATTCAAGTGCTCACTTAAGGGGATTCTAATCCCTTACTTCCTCGGATAGTCCCTGAATAATATGTAAATTCGCCAAAGGCTTATCTCCTTTTAACACATGGCTATCTCATTTCTAATTCATTTCCATGTAAAGACTCAAGAAAAACATGGATTGTGATTATGCAAATTCATGAGAGACTAATGGAAGTATTCCGTTATATGCTAGAATATAATTTCATATCACTCATCCGTGAATGATCTCATTATGTTCTCAACTTAATCACCACAAATAAAAAATGACAAATGAAACGTGAGTATTTAAATAAAATTGTGAATAAAAAATATCAATGAAGATTACGAGGATTGAGATAGAGAGTTGAAATTTTAAGAGGATTTAAAAAAAATTTATTCCGAATATTTTGGAAGAAGAAAAATTGAAATTGGTGCAGTAGTTTTTGAGATATTGAGGAAAAACGAAGTTTAAACAAGTTGTTATATCTCAGGGACTACTGGACTGATCGGGCTGAAACAGCGCGTCAAAGTTGGAGTCAGTCATAGCTCCAATAACCCAAAATTTTAAATTTTTATTTACAAATTTCACCGTATTTATATTGAATTTTCTTAAAATTAATTACCAAAATCCCAAGTTGTCACATACATACGACCCTAAAAACATCATTTCTTCACGTTTCATAAAATTCTCGACAATTTGCAATCAAAATTAGAAAATCGAAAAATCAGTTAAATACAAGGCTTTCATTCGGGAGCAAAAAGAGAGTACTTGAATGAAATTGTGAATGAAACATACCAAACAAGTTTCCATTATTTCACCAAAGATTTCCTCCCACATAAACACAATATCCTAACGAATAAACCGTGTAAGACAGCAATCTCAATATTTTCCAGCCATTGCCCATCTAGTCTCCTTATGTAATTACAAACCTAAATCTCTCCTGCCCAGCTGTATCCCACAACTGCAACTTGATTCTTGTTCCATCGTCCACATCTATCAGTCTCGCGAAGAAATCCACACCAACCGTAGGATCTGATAACTGAACACAAAACAAACAAGATGATATGAACTCTGAGTAATAATAAAATAATAAAACAAGTGGGAAATTGCTCTTGTATTGTATAGAGTATAGTGATTTGCTAATAAATTAGCAATATACTTCCGAATGGTTATTTTGCACATTATTTCCTTCTGTCATATCTAATTCATTGTTTATTTTATTTTATTAAATTGAATAAGATTTCCGTTTACCTAATTTTTTCAGATTTTGAACTTAGTTAAATATTATCAGCATCATTATTGTTATTATCCCTTTTCTACAATTCCATCTCTCCTCTCAGCCCTTCGCTAAAATGTTAATAGAAAAATTTTATCTGCACATACTTGAATGAATTTGAAACATCACATTTAAAGAAACCATCAGAAAGCTCACTTTCAGAGAAATTAATGAAAAATTCAAAATTTTCAACAATCATCGTAAAAATCAAGTCAACCAATATATCTATCGTAATCATTGTCTAACTTCGACTTAATGGCATTAAAACAAACATTTTAAGCTATCATTGAATTCATTTGAAGCATGATATTCAAAGATATCCCCGGAATTCTGATTTTTAAAAATACAAAATTTTTGAAAATTTTCGAATAAATCAAAATAACGATTATTGCTATCACCTTCATCTTCGAACTCGGTCAAAGAACATCCAAACAAATATTTTAAGCCATCATTCAATCAATTTAGAACATTTTTTTTAGTTATCGTGGGACAACCGATTTTTGAAAAAATTCAAAAATTTAAAAAACTAATGGATGAATCAAATTTTAATTAATGGCGATCGATGGGGCTCAATAATACCTACATTTGAAAAAAAAAAGATTCAATTTCATCCATTCATTACGAAGAATTGAAGAAAAACTTCACCACACACATAAGTACGGACACGGTCGAAAAATTGTATTTTCGAACTTTTTGCATCATAATGCATCGATATAACACAAAAAATTCAAAACTTAGATTTGAACGATTCCAATGCTTCCATTTGGAAGCAAAAACTTATCTTTCTTACTACAGTAATAAAATCTTCACCGATGTTATCACCCACCTAGTGATCAACTAATCCCTCTCTAATCATTATCTCCCAGCTTTAAATAAACAAAATAGCTCGTCTTTCATTTCTCTCTCTACATCCACAAAAATGTAATTATAATTCTCACAACGCAAAATGATGGTGAAACCTAACCTTCACAGAACCCAAGTGCTATTCAAAAAATACCAGACAATTGCGTCACAACTCCAAAATAACTTCACCCGTTCTTCATAAAGAATTCAAATCCCCAATGTTAAAAAAAATAAGAAATTGAGAATTAAAAAACCCACACTCGAGTCCACAGAGCAATAACCACATGTAATCATCGATGACTCCAACAGGTTGCCCCAAATAAATCCCAATGACAACAGAACAAAAAATCATAATTACCTCAGCAAATTTTCCATCAGTAAAATACTTGAGCAAAGAACTCTTTCCCACTGTACTGTCGCCGATCAGAATCAACCGAAATTGATAGTCAAAAATTGGCTCCACCATATTGTCTATTATTTGTTTGTTATAAATTATTGATTTGAGTTGAATCCATACACGCACGTCAAGAATCTTTCACTGGTGCCTCATGGGTTCAAAGGTGAGACTCTATTCATGGGAACACAGAGTTTTAAAAAAAGGACAATACAATGGTGTCGTTTATTTTGCGAGACTCGCGATCACAGCTGACCGTGACATACCTATTGGAAGGGTTCTTTTGATACTTGAGGAGACTTGCGCGAACGTCACATTCCCTGCACACATCGTACACTGATTCGACGCACACCAGGAGACAACTGACGTTGCGGGAAGTTTATAAATGTTCTACGACGTATTAAACGCTTTTCATTGAGGTGTGGAAAGTGCGAGAGGATTATCTCGAAATCCTCAGCCTCAGTCGAGGTCAATCAATTCATTCTCAGGTCCTCGGGGGACTTGTGAATGGATTTGGCTCGCAGGAACCAATTAACGATGGCCTTTTGGCTGATGCCTGCATTGCTGTTTGGGTTTCATTGCGGGATTTGTTTATTGTCCTTTTTGTAGTGTTATGAGTGTTTGTTTTGGATATTGCAGTGCAGATATGAATCACGCAGTTTCTGCATTAGTCATTGGACTTTTGTTTGATATGCGAATGGGAAGGAGGGAGTGAAGTTGTTTGAAATTACCCCTGTACAGGTACACTAGGGTTACTCAGCACACTGAGAGAAATACGACGAAGTTCTCAAACAAGTCTTGCTTGTGGCAAGAAAATAGTTTTTTGGAAATGATCAAAAATTTATGTTTTTGTGTCAAACATGCAGAGAGTGCGTCGAGATGAAAAAATTGCAGGCGGCTGTATCTTCCATACAGCTGTTATTGCACGTGCATACGTCCATGGTCTTTCCTTCTTTCTCGAATTTCCTAGAAACTCCTTGCATTCCCTCGAATTTTCTGGAAATTCCTTGAATTCTCTCAAATTTTTTAGAAACTCCCTGAATTTTTTCGAAATTTCAAGAAACTTCTTAAATTACCTCGAAATGTCTAGAATTACATTATATTAATCCGATAAAATTTTTCATCTCCGATTTTTATTCTTTGCTATTTTTTTATGTATTCTATCAAAGTGTGAGGGTAGATATTGAATTAATAGGTATTCTTTCATTATTTGAAAAAATATATCAATTTTAATACTTTCTGGAGACATTGAAAAATCGAAATTTTTATTTTCTTGCTGATCACATATCTCTGTTCTTTTTTTCACTTTCTTCCATTGAAATTAGATCATAGAAGGGGAACATATTGATATTTTTTCATTTAGAAAAAAAAATCAGTTTTTTGTCATTCCGGCCGTAAGGCAGCGTTTCACGGATGCTCCGCTTCGCTCCGCGTCCGTGAATCTCTTCTACGGCCGTCATGACAAGAATACTGTTCGTCATACGGCCAAAAAAACTTTTCTAGCTCATATGATTGCAGCCCTCGCCTTCGGCTCGGGTAAGCTCATATTCGCCAGAAAAGTTTTTTTCGGCCTAGTGACGAAATATACTATTTTCGGCCTAATGACGAAATATACTATTTCATGATTTGATTTCATTGAGAGCCGGAATTATTATATTATACTGATATTATTTAACATAAATATTTTTTCATTTGAAAATGAGAAAAATTGTTCCCATAACTTGTATACTACAATGGGAATGGAATCCAATAAATTTAATTTAATCTAACCACAAAGAAAAATTGGAAAGAAAACAATAAATTAATATAATATAATCTATCGAAGGGCGCGAAGCGCCTGTTCGCTAGTTTTCTAAAATTCTGACAGATGGCGCTGCACATAAGGACCGTTTCTCAAAATGACCCCCATATATATGACGTCATGACCGAAAAATTGGCCTTGAAAACGACTGATTTTCAATTGATTATCATAAGACATCTAGGCAATATTTGTCCATAATTTTCATAATTTTTTTTTTCTCAAATTGTCCCCAATATCTTCGCGGGGTCTCAAACTATCAAATCGTCCTTTGGCACAATCACAGAACACGAAAAAGCCTTCAAAATGAGACGTCATACATAGCATTATCTTCAATTTGACAGGGTTTATACGAGAAAACGTTTTTTAAACCGTTAATTACTCAAGAAGCTATTTTTTTTTTAAATCTGAAATTCAAAAAAAATTTTTTAATCAGTGTATAATGTGCACAATCTTATTGTTTGAATCCTCATAGTCAAGAGTGTTGGATACGACTCATCACATTCTACAAATCCGATGCTGAATTTAATGGGTTTCGGAATGAATAATAGTTGATTTTTCCAATGGAGTTAATTGATATTCACTAAGTTTATTCATTTGTACAATGAGTATTTAGGAAGCTACAAGCAATTGACACAATTGATACGAAAGATTGATCCAGCGTCAGGAGCTCCCATGACTCATAAAGGGAAAATAAACCCCTCAACTTCATTTACATTCCTCATAAGTTCTTAAGCATAAAATACAAAAGTAGTATAAAATTGTCGTTATTACAAAAAAAATCTACAGTACGTATAGCATGTCAGAAACGTATCACAACTTTTCCAATAATCTTTCTTGTAAACAATTTCCTCTGTTCAATCCACTAGTACAATGATGAAATTAAATAAATCGACTCTTCTTTACGTTCAGATTTCGGGGAATATTTCCGCATTCCGGGGAGATACAAATCCCCCAGAATTTCACCTCTTTGTATCTTTTATTTTGTTCTCCAAAACATTTTGGATGAAAACGTGTCTATCTATTCTACATTCAAAAATATTCATCAAAACTAAAATTGACCTATCTCGTTTCCCCACTTCACAACAGAATGTTTCGTTGCATAAATACTGATTCTATTTGTTATCTGGGTATTTCGCTAATTATTGGTATGGTTTTGTACCTTCAAAAATTAAATTTTGTAGAGGCATTTTATATGGCTTAAATTTTTTTTGAGATTTGTGAGTTTTTGACAAAATTTCGCGTTTCAGAACAGGTTAACTTTTTCCGGTTTCCAATAAGTATTTCCAACGGAAATTTTCCGTTTTTTCGATTGACATGGTGTCAATTAGCTCACATCATCGGAAATGCTTCAAAATCGCCAAAAAAGTAAAAAATTGTGCGTCGTACCCTCTTCCCCCACCTCGACTGAAGATTTGTTTCTTTCCTTACTTAAAGTGACTATTTTTACGAAACATTAAAAAATTAGACTGAGACTCAGATTCGTTCTATCCAAAAAAATTTTTTTCAATTTTCGTTTTTTTAAATTTCGGAATACAAAAATTAAAAACTGAGAAATTGGAAAAAAAATTTTAAAACGAAAGATGAAAAAAATTAGTTTTGGATAGAACGGATCCGAGTCCCAGTCTAATTTTTTAATATGTTCCGTAAAAATAGTCACTTTAGGTAAGGAAAGTAACAAATCTTCAGTCGAGGTGGCCGAAGGGGGTACCATGCACAATTTTCTAGTTTATTGGCGATTTTAAAGCATTTCCGACGATGTGGGCTAATTGGCACCATGCTCAATCGAAGGAATGGAAATTTTTCGTCGGAAATACATATTAAGAACCCGAAAAAAATTACCTCTGCTGAGACGCAAAATTTTGTAAAAAAACAAAATAAAAAAATTAACGTTGTGGGCGTAATCAAATTTGAAAAAAATGGAAGTTTTTTTGAGACCTTTTGAATGGTAAGCCATATAAGCCTCAAAAAATTAAATTTTTGAAGGTACAAAACCATACTAATAATTGACGAAAACGCCCACCTCAAAAAATCAAAAATCGAACAATTGTTCACTGCGCAGAGCAGCTTCCAGTTTCTCCTCAAATTTCTTATTCGCTAATCGTTGTTTCTCCAGAAGTGTTTCTAATTTGTCAGTGATACTCTGGACGTGTGAAAGTTGATTCTTGCTCTCTTCAAGAAATGATTTTACGACTCCTGAATTCTCCCTATCAGAGATGTTATCGAATTCCTCAATGACCATTGATATCTCCTGATTCTCTTTGTCGGCCTCTTCCTCGAGACGTCTTCTCTTGACCACAGATGTCTCATGAGGCTCCACTAAGGAAGTCATCTGGGCCTCGTATGTCAAGAAAATATTCGATTTGAACCACCAGGGCAATGTTCTGAACAATTTGATGTGATTTTTATCATAGACGACTGATAAGTCTGGAGCCACCAGCCGAATTTTTTCCTTGATTATCTCGGTGAGAACGTGCACAAAATTCGGCTTTTCAGTGCTGTTGGACATGAAGAAAATGTTGCTCAGGATGTTGCATGATATTGCTTCGTAATTTGATCCTCCTAGGGTTGTATTACAGTAACGGATGACGCATTTGTGAAGCTTCATTGTGTTGTCGATAGGCCAATTAAATCTGTTACAAAAAGAAAATCATATGAAGAGGAAGTTCAATTATCGGTTTTCAAAATAAATGTAGTGTTGGCATATGATGGGAATTGCTAAGTCAGAAAATGAAAGTGGCCCATTGCACAGGTCTAAATCAAGTATAGTTTTTTTTTTCTAAAATTAGCTATTTGCTTCTGAATGAATTAATCTAATTAAAACAAAAGTGTACATTCGGTTTTCTGTCATTAATTTCAAATTAGTAGGGATCCTTCCTGAATTTTGACCTCAGCAAAATTCAATAGTTTTTTTTTAAGACAATGTGAGATAAAATTTTTTAGTGAACAGAATTTATTTTAAATTAGACAGATTGAGTGAAAACAAAATGAATGTAAAATTTGATATCACAACAGTTCATGCCCTTGATACATCAATGTTGATGTCTCCTCGGTCGTAAGTAAATTGTTCAAATTTTATTTTTCTCCTGAACAGTTTTTCTTAAACTGGACTTAAGACCAATACAAATTTTTTGCTAATGAGTTAGCAATTTGCTTCTGAATGGTAACTTGGGGAAGAAGATATACCAGCCATGAACCCTTAATATGATCCCTAAATATCCCAAATGTCGAACATGAGTTCCATATGCTTTGGTTAAACATCTAACAGACGCCGACTAAATTAAAATTAAACTGGTTTAAACATCCACTGAACATTGATTAAACCTTGGTTAGACCCTGATAAACCTCCGACTAAATCCCGACTAAACTCCAACTAAACACGACTAAACATCGATTAAACCTTCGCTAAACTCAGACTACATCCCGACTAAACCATGATTAAACCTCGATTAAATGCCTTTTAAGGCTAGAATTTCAAAGAAAATGATGCCATCGCCACTATCTTCGAACTCGACCGAGATAACATCCAAACGAATATTTTAAGCCATGATTGAAAAACTAAATTTGAAAAAAAAGCTCACATACATGCATACGAACATGATCTAAAAACAACATTTGCGAACTCCTCAGACCAAAATTAGGCATCGTCACACAAACAAAAAATTGAAATTTCAAATTTGACGAATACAATGCTTCCATTCGGAAGCAGAAATCAGAAAATCTACACTGAGAGAAAAACGACCAAGTTCTCAAACAAGTCTTGTTTGGGTTGACAAAATCGTTAGTTGAAAATTACAAAAAAAAATAATTGTTTGGTTCGAATTTGACAGTATCAAACATGAGCAATTGCTGTGCTTTCAACAACAACGAAATATTTGGATCAAGAGGCGGATCATTCATACAAGATGATGCCTTTTCAGGATAAAAATATCTTCTATAGAGGGAAGTTTATCAAGAAATATTTTGTCCCGAAGTTACAAGATAGCTGTCATATCATTATTATTATTTCACTGAAGAATTAATTCTCTGTCTGTGATTGTTGAATAATCGAAACTACTATCGCTCCTTTCATATAAAACGAGCATTTGCCGGAGGCAAAATACGTATGGGAGCAGCGACTAACGAAGAAGTAGTGCTAGAAATTACATTACTTGCGTGCACAGAGAATACATTTTTTTTGGAAAGACTAAATCTAGAGCCGACCGTATACTGAGAGACAAATTGACATAATATTACAAAAATAATTTCTTGAGTGAAGAACATCGCATGCATATTCGATCAATTCATGGTAGGTTTCAGACAAGAAATCGGTGCTCTTCGGGCAAAAGAAGTATGATACTGAATGAAAAAATGATATTTTTTTCCGGAAATTAGATAATATTCCTAAAGAGACAAAGTAAGTTTGGGAAAATATGTTATTGCTTTCCTTCAAACTAATTGCGATTCAGAGCAAGTAACGGTTATATTTTTGAAATATCTGAAGGTTTTCCCCTGTATAAATTCTGTAAGATGCAAAAACAACACTACGTTATTGTCAAATAGTGCACAATCATGTTTTGCAATCAAACTTACGGCCAAGGTGGTAATATGAAGCCCTCAAGAATGCTCTCGATGCTTCCCCTGTTTTCCTCTCCCTTCCAGCCCTCATCAAAGTACTCATAACTGCAAGGCACATCAAAGTCTTTCGGCAAAAGTGGTTTGAACTCCGCTGGAAAATCCGTATACATCAAACTCTCCGGGTCCAGAATGACATCCATCAGCCGACCAACAGCTTCATTGTGCAGATCAACAATGAATTTGGGGTCATCAGTAGCTGCTTTCAGAGCTGCATTAAACGGTGCATGGCCAGCTATCCTCAGCCACAGTTCATCAGTCAAACAATTCTCAACAACATCTTTCAAATAATCCATCTCAAGAGGAATGGGCGTTGATCTGTTCATACTTAGCCAGAGAATAGCAGTCTGAGTCAATTTCAGAATGCTGTCCTCGTCAATCATCTTCTCACGATGCACAGTATACTCAGAGATATATTCAGACCTCAACAGGTTATCCAGTTCACTCTTCGGTTCTAAACCCTTACAATTCCCCTCTTTCCCCAGGATGATGAAGACCAGTGGAATGGGCATTAATTTCTGTCTCGACAGAACAGTCTTCGTGAGTCTCCTCACGACTTCCTTAGGATCCTCATCAGACATCGCAATGAAGAAGAGCCCATCCATCCCCATGACATCATCCTCCCCAGCGATCCCTTCACAATGTTTAATACAAATATTCAAGGTCTCGTAAGGATTCGGTTTGTACGTCTTGATGATCGGATCCATCCGGCTGTCCCCAGGGCACAGGTACTGGTTCATGATGTTCTTGTACCTCCAGAGGAGGACCCTTTTCTTCAATAAGGGCCACGACACCACCGCCTTCCAGAACATAATCGGTGTTGGGTCTGTATCAAGAGTCTTCGCATTCTCCTTCAGTCCAGAGTAGATTTTCAGCTCCACTGGACTGATGTACTTCAAGTTGTCTTCATTACCCGACTTATTCGACCTCCTCCTCATATTCTGGATCACCAAGTCCTGATCCTTACGGTATAATGACTGGGCACATGCCTCGAGAGAATATCTAGGCAGCCAAACTGGGGTATTGTCCAGAGCTTTCCTCTGCTCTCGTTTCTTCATGGCGTTTCGCTGCCAGATCCTGTAGCACTTCAGGACAATTCTGTTCTCGACCCTCTTGGCGACCTCGTGGAGCCTCTTCTGGATGTATAACTCTTCGTCCAGAGCTTTCATGCAGTCTTCACGGATGACTTCTTTTATTAAATCGTCTGATATTTTCTGACTCAGTCTCTCGAAGACCTTGGCCCTCTCCATGAGTTCTTTCAAGATTGTCGAGCACATGTCGTGGATTACTTCGGTTTCTATTTCATTCGCACATTTTTTCGTGTTCTCTTCGATTTCTTGGAGACGTTGCTCTCGAGCCAGGGATTTTCGTCTCAACTCTTCTTCCTGCTGTCTTCTCTTCTCTTCTGCAAGTTCTGATTCTGTTCTTTTCTTCGTTGGCGATTCTCTCGGCTTTGCTGGCTGAGGGGCTTTGAATGTATTTTTTGTCTTCTGGTTGACATCAGACACAGAGAGAAGTGGAGGAGTGGACACTGGCACTGGTTTAGCGAAGATATTGCCCTGACTCGCACCAGAGAAAATTGACTCATTCCCAGGCTTTCTATCACCAAAAGTGGAGGGTCTGCCACCTGTTTTTCCGGATGGTTTGGGAACATCAGGCTTGGCGAAAATGCTGGGTTGTTGTGCGCCTGGGAATGATAATCCGGGTTTACCACCGAAAGGATTATTCTCCCCTGATTTAGGGATAAATGGCGATTCTATCGACATCTTCGAGTCGATAGCCTCGACAGTTGAAAACTTGAAGTTGTTGCTGAAGATGTTGCCAGATGTGAAAGACAACGACGAGAATATGATTGATTTCGTCGTTGGAACAACCTCATTTTCACCATCATCAGCATCGTCATACTCTTCCTCATCCTCTTCTGTTTCCTCCTCTACGTCTTCTTCTTCAACCTCCTCATCCTTTTGCTCCACCTGCAATGATTTTAAACGGATCATGATGAACAGGAATGTGAGAATTATCATTTGTTGATTTGGAGGAATTTTTGATACAGTCCAATCTTTGTACAAGATACCACAGGGACTGTAGGGGAATAAAATTCCGAGTAATACCTATCCCCCACCTTACTTGCGCCCAGAGGGAAAAATATTTTGATTTGATACTCTTCGCACAAAATACCAGACGATTTCCATTTTTCACGATCATTTGAGTACTATTCCTGATGTGAAACATGAATGTTTGATTAGAAGCTATTGCTTCTTCGCAAAATAACAATTTAGAAACTCGGAATAAATTAGTTTATTAATAAGGGCTTGCAAGGCAAAAATTGACTCTTATTAGATTTTTGGTTTTCATAAAAAATGGGTTGAATTTTATGTTATTTTGTCTATCTATCCATTTAAGAAATGGACGTATAACATATGATGTAATGCATGTCAAAAATGAATATTTTACCAAGTTTTATGACCGATACGTTTGAATTTTTTTTTCCGAATGGAAGCCTTGTTATTGACCGATTTTTCGATTTTCTAGTTTTGATTTCAAATGATCGAGAATGTTATGAAACGTGAAGAAATGATGTTTTTAGGGTCATGCCTGTATGTATGTATCTAACAACTTGAGATTTTGAGGATTAATTTTTAGAAAATTCAACATAAATACGGTGAAATTTGAAGATCAAAATGTGAAATTTTGGCTCATTGTAGCTACTATTGAGCTCAACTTTGAGTCGCTGTTTCAGCGGGATCGGTCCAGTAGTTAATGAGATATAGCAACTTGTTTAAATTTCGTATTTCCTCAATATCCCAAAAACTACTGCACCGATTTTAAATTTCTTTTGGAAAGATGGCGATTAGAAGACAATTTTGAGAAAAGAAAAGTTGAAAATATTGATAATTGAGGGAGTTACGATTTTTTGAAAATGGCTAGTTCTTGTTCAAAAACAAGTTTTTTTCCAAATTGGCCTGAATATTTCTGTGGGGTTTCGAGCTAACCAATAGACCTTTGGCCCACTCAAAGAACATGGAAAGCCCTTCAAAATGAGACGTTATACATAGCATTATTTTCAGTTTGACGGGGTTTATACGAGAAAACGTTTTTCTTCAATCGTTAATTACTAAAAAAGATGATTTTTAAAAAATCTGAAATTTTCAGGAAAATTGTCAATAAAATGAAAGCAATTTTGGCAATTAGAGTTTGTCTGTTGCCGTAGTTCCGCGGTTGTTTTTTTTCAGTGGGAGAAGTATTGAAAATGACCAAAAATCGCTATTATTCATGCAATTATCCCCCAAATGAGTGAATATTCAATTGAATATTTAAAAATGAGTCAATTAAATTCAATTCTCGATTATCAACAAAGGAAAGCTCTTTGAAAAATGTATTTCCATTGTAAAATTAGAGAAGTAATAATTTTTCACTAAAAAACCATACAAAAGATAAATAATGGAAGATACAATGAGTCTAAACTCCACCATTTGCTAGTATTTAATTGAATATTCACTTATTTGGGCGATAATTCTATGAATAATCGTAATTTTCAGTCATTTTCTATACTTGTCTCAATGAAAAAATTAATAACCGCTGAAATAGGCGAAAGACAAACTCGAGTTGGCGTCAAAATTGTTGCCATTTTATTGACAATTTTCGGTGAAAATTTCAAATAAAAAAAAAAGATTTTTTTTGAGTAATTAACGATAAAAAAAATAATGTTTTTTCGTCTAAACCCCGTTAAATTAAAGGTAACGGTAAAAAATTATGTATTGCATTTCATTTTGAAGGGTTCTTCATGTTTTTTGATTGTGCCAACATCATGATTTAATTACTTGAAACCCTGCAGAAATATTGGCGCTAATTTGGAAAACATGTTTTTTTTAGAAAAACTAGCAATTAAAAAAAAATCATAACTCCCTTAATTATCCGTATTTTTGAATTGTTCTTTTTCACAATTTTCGTCTAATCTCCATTTTGTCAGAAAAAAATTGAGACGAACACGTATGAAAAGTTCAATAGAAAACCTAGCGAATTCGCTATTAAATTCTGTTGGAATTCTATAGGAATCCTATGGGATTTCTGAAGGATTTCTATTGGAATTCTATTGAAAAAATCTATTCGTTTTTTGAGCTGATTCTATTGGATACTCGATAAGAAAGAGATTTCTTATTTTTCTTTGAATTTTTCTCTTGAGATTTTTTCTATAAGAATGCTTGGGCATTAATTTTCTACGTTTTTTCTATCCGGATTTTGTAATGCAAAACAAAACGAAATCCAGCGGAAAAAACTTTGAAAATTTGTGCCCAATAATAATAATAAAAAACGACTGTTTGACGCAATTCAAGCAAAAATTTTTTTTTTATTAAATTTTTTTTCATCAACTTTTTTTTATTCTTGGCAGTACGGATGAGAATAATAATTTTCCATTCAGTAGAAGTGTTTACGGGCGAAGATTTTATCAATGGATTAAATCAAAAGAAAATGAAACAGCAAAACCCAAAGTCCAGAGCAAGGCCCAGGGGGAGATCCAGAGGGGGAAAAAGGAAAATGTGATGCTGAATTTCAATCGAATAATCCAATGGCAAAATCTTCGCCCATCAAAACTTGTCAATAATTTTCCAGTCTACTAAATGGAAAACTATTATTCTCATCAGTACTTCCAAGAATAAAAAAAAGTTGACAAAAAAAAATTCAATAAAAAAATTTGTTTTTGCTTGAATTGCGTCAAACAGTCGTTTTTTGATTGTTTCATTTTGCCCCACTCTCCCCTAGAATTTTTCAATAGAATTCCAATAGAGGTCCTATAGAAATCGCATAGAGTTCCTATAGAATCCCAGTAGAAATATATAGCGAATTCGCTAGGTTTTTATTGAATTTTTTCATACTTGAAACTCCCCAGCATCGGCTTTGTTGTCCTGCTGATTTGGCGTGGATCTGCTCATATTCATTTCGTTGCTATAAAAGTATAATATTCTACACACCTCTCCATTATCTTCTTCCACCCGTAGTCCAAATGTTTTACGTCTCAGGGGCGGTGGTGCCTCCTCCACGTCCTCCTCCATGTACTCATAAGGATCCCGCTCCTCTCCCCCCTCCTCCCCCTCACCAATTCCACGATTCTGATCACTAGCATTGACGGCCTCTGTCTTCAAATACCCTTGATCATCGAAACTGTTATGGGGCTTGTGATCCAGGTAGATCTGCTCCGGCATTACTCCCCCAGCGATGGCCTGTCCATACGAATACCCCATCTTCATTCTTTTGGCCTCTACAAGACTAGTTGCTCTCCCCTCATCCATCACAGGGGGTGGAAGATTTGCATTATTTCTGTTCAAAACAATATTAAGCTCGTCACACGATATATTCAAGTCAGCATTTGCGCAGAAGGCAATCGCCTCGTTCTCGTCATCAAACCCCAAGATGTCCATGAACTCGTACAATGGATACGCTGTGGAGGTGGTTCTGCAGTAAGCCTTCACCATCACCGTGAGCCCTTTAACCCTGACTTGAAAGAAGTACCTCAGCATGAGACAGGCGTTCAAGTACGTCGTTCTCCTCACGAGTTTAAAGAATCTCGTGTAATTATTCGACTGAATCGACGAGAACACCTGAATAGCGAATTTAACTTCTGGCGAGCTCTGAATGGCCTTCGGCAGTTCCTTGAGGTCCCACATAAAGCTCGTGTTGTCGAGATTCAACAGGATAATATACCCTCGAAATTCCGCTTCATTCTTGCAGCTGATGCCCTGCACCCTTAGATCGTGGTACATGTATTTGAGCGTTTGAAGGCACTTCGTGAGGTTTTCGGTGTTGATTTTCTTGTCGAACACAGCTGTCTCCTCGGCGCAGAGGCGCTCCGAGCAGACAATGTGAAACCTCGCGCATTGCTCGACGAGTTCGACAGTGTCCAAGCAGCAGAGGTCCTGCAGGGTGATGTCTTTTCGAATGCCCCTGGTCCTGTCCCAGACGAAGTGGTACCACTCGGCGAGGTTTGTGCCCTCCTCGTCGCAGAGGTCCACTATCTCGTGGAGGAGGTAGCTCATCGTCATCTTCAGGGAAATGACTGGCCGGAGGTCCTGGGGTAGAGGCTCTGCCTGGTCTGCCGAGGATCGCGAGTACTGCTTGACTGCTGTCTCGTGGCAGATCCTGTACTCTGCACAGTCCACTTGCTCGTAGGAGGCCACTTGTCTCTGGAATTCTCGCATCAGTCGCTCCTTCTCAGGACACATGTCTGGACAGGTCCCTCGGGTCTTCTTGGCGGTTGCCAGGGTGTGGCTTTTCACTTGCTTGAGCCTCATCAGTCTGTCCCGGGCTTCTAGGATTTTGTACTTGTCCTCACTGGTGCCTCCTGCTTGGCGGATTATTCCCTGGAGCTCTCGGGCTGATGCTGTTGATGAGTAAAAGGGGATTTGGCTCTCGGCCTCGACCCGGGGGAGCACTCGGTCGGGCTCCATTGGCTTTTCGGGCTTCGAGGACTTCGTGGAAGGTCTGGATCTTCTTGAGGATGATGGGGGGGTGTCACTGGTGTCCTCGGAGGGGTCGCCGGGGAGGTTATACTCCAGAGCAGTCATTGCTTCTAGTTCTGCGCGGATCTCGTCGTCCTCGGGTTTTAGGTACTGGGAGAAGGGATTCTTCAAGGCGTCTTTTTTCTTCACTGATTTTTGGGACATTTTGTGGGTCGGAGGAAGCACTATTTACTTTTGAAATCACAAACTGAAGCACTACTGTTTTGGAAGGAGAGAGAATTAAATATATGGACGGGAGTTATTTATCTATCGTAGGTAAAGAAGGGGGAGGGGGTACAATTTCTTCATTGATTCTTGAGATATTTTTTTGTTTTGGAGGAAGCACTATTTACTTTTGGAATAATAAATTGGACAATTTTTGATTATGGTGGTAGAGGAACTGCGATGAATAGAGGGAAATTCTTCATCTGTAGTGGGTGAAGAAGATTACACTGGGTATGGCAAGGACACAAGGGAGAGGGTCCAAGAGATCCAAGTAATGAACAGCTGATCAGTGTGAACGAGAGATAGAATGAGAGAATTGCATCGGTTGCCCAATACATTGCAATTTTATCGTCATGAGATAAGTGAATTTGTTGGAGGCATGTATCATGTGAACCTTCTGAGCCTAACTTACCCATTCGAGAGGGCGTGTTAACTCATTCATTGGAGAAATCAAAAATCGAGCATGTGGATTTTTGAGGTTAATTCTCCGTTATAAACAAGTCAGGGCAACTCGAACAATTTTTTCATATTTGACTATTAATTATCGAGTGTAAAATATGACGAAAATAAAACAAAAAGGGTCTGCGTCGTGGAAGTCTTTAACCCTCGAAGGTGCGATATTTTCATCAGGCGTTGAGGGATTAATTGGTATTGAAGAGCTGGTGGACTACAGCCTAGAGAATAAATCGGAGAAATCGTCAAAACGAAAGGTATTTACAGCCTATAATATTATTTATTTCGTTGCGGGAATATTTATTCATGATAATTGCGTCAGTAGTCACTGGACACGCATGAAAAAATTTTATGGAAAAATCTAGTGCTCTTTTTAAGAAATTCTATTGAATTTGTATTGGAAGTCTGTAAGCGTTTCGTTGGAATTCTATTGAAAAATTATATTTGTTTGTTGCGGTAATTCTGTGCAAGATTTGGCAATTTCACCTTGTCATTTTTTAAGAGAAATATATGATATAAAAAAAATCAATAGATTTATATTTTTCAATAGAAATTCATGAGCATAAATTTTCCAATTTTTCTTCATTGCATTTTCATTTTTTTCTCATAATAAAATCCAAGGAAAAAAATTAGAAGTTTTTAATTATGAATTCTTATATAAATCATTCCAATGGAATAAGTTATGTGGAAAAATCAACATCTAGAGGAGGGTAGGGTAAAACGGACACTTGACTTTTTTTGAAATATTCATGACGTGTTGAGTTGTTCATGAAATGGAATAATTTTATTTTTCAATTGAAAAACAATGATTCCTCTTTGTGATGAGCTTAAAATGAGCTCAATTGATAAATCTGTTTCTGAGTTATGAATATTTTTTAAAAAGTCAAAAATGTCCATTTTACCCTACCCTCCCCTATATACTTTTTTCTATGAAGAAATATCTATTGAAATTTCATAGAATTTTTTTGATTTTTGATGGAATTTTTTCGTACGTGACAAAGCTTTTATGATAAGTTTTTGGTGAACATCTTCGAATTCCACTCAGATAGACAACTTTATCAGTCCCTTTACAAAATTTTTGGCTGAATTTATCGGTATAGTTTTTGGAAATTTGTACTGAGTTACAGTTCCCTTGAAGTTTTAAGAAAGTTCGTCATTGAAAATTCACAACTCCATTAAAAAATGAACGGATACTGTAGATTTCAATTCAATTATTCCACGAAAATTAATAGAAATTCTGAAAATTCAAGTAAATATATACTCAAATTTTCAATCAATTGGAATTTTAGCGTAATTGGGTACTGAACACTCAAACGATATGACGGTCATATGCCAACTAAATTGATGGCCTGCCACAAAATTTTCGTCACATAAGCAATCAGCGGCGACATTATCGACTGGCTGTCAATAAAAAAATGTTGATGGAAAGCATATAGTTCTTTGTTTGATAAAATTTTCTGATTACACTCCTCAATTATGACCTTTTTTGGGATATAAATCTTATGTAACCGTCATATTCCATTTAAATAGCAGTAAAAATGTCACACCATTCGATATTCGATGATGGCTTCTCAATTTTGCGACATTTTCGTGAGAGATTCTAGGTGACCCATCTAAATACCGGAAATATTGTGATACTACTCAAAATATGACAAAAACAAGCAGGGGACCGAGCCTTTCTGTCAGAAAGCCGTTACTTAATGCGTTATTTGTCTTTTTCATTTTTTATTTCTACCAATTCACTTGGTAGTAAGCTTCCGAGTGGATCCGCAGAAATTTCATTTTTTGATTAAAAAGAGGCAATTTGTATTGAAAACGGAGAATTAGATTTCGATTTTATCCAGTGGGGTAGGCATTTCCTCGCGAACCCATTTTCAATAAAAATTTACTTTACCACATCCTTCACTCACACAGCAACTTTCAGACAAGAAAAATAGAAAAACGCCCATATCCCGTAAATTTTTTAGGAACGAGTATATATATTTTGAAATAATTAGAGAGGAAATATGAAGACGAATATTTTGAAAAAAAACTTGAAATCGGATGAATAATTTTTGAGATATTGAACAATATATTTTTATCCAAAAAATTGAATATCTTTAAAACTACTCATTAGATTTCGCCCATCTGAAATCCCAGCTTGTAATATAGTAAGACCTAGAATCCTACCAAATTTCAACTTCCTATCTCAATTTTTTCAAGCGTTATCGTGTTCACATCCATCTTATCACAAAAATGAAAAATTTCAATTACTGGACAATTCGCAATAGTTAATCAGGCATATTATGGTCTGATTCGATAGATATTATCATAAAGAATATTTTGACGCCAAAAAAAGTTCATTTGATGCAGTAATTTTCGAGATATTGAGAAAAGAAATTTTTTTGGAATCGCTGCATCTCAAAAACTACTGGACCGATTGAGCTGAAATTTCATCCAGATGTGCTCCCAAACAATACCAATTACGAGCCAAAATTTCAGATTTTTATCTATCACTTTAGCCTTTTTTCTGTGAAAATTTCTGAAAAGATTCTCAAAATTTTGTACGTACATACACACAGACATTCTCTAAAAACATAATACTTCGATGTTTCATGACATTCTAAGTCATTTCCAAGCAAAATTAGACAATCGACCGATTACAAAGCTTCCATTCAGGAGCAGAAATCTGACGTCGCGTGACATCTCTAATTTTGATTTCCAAAATTATACATCTCCCTTGATTTCCAAGATATTAAGCAAAAACTGCCCCTCCAGAATAACTAATCCATCAATTCTCTCCCTCTTCAGTATCTAAATATGTGATGAATAACATTTTTCCTTCTAGATATCCCAGGATTCTTCTGAAGAATCAGATCAAGACGGCAGTCCAGCCGCCCAGAGTAATAAAAAATCATTCAATGCAAAGAAAAAGAAGAAAAAAGGAAAAGGCCTTCAACCGAAATCCTCACCAACAGAACCAGGCGAGAATCCCCCTACCAACGAATCCGAGGATTTAAACTTCAGTGCGGAGGCATGGACGACTCTCGGTGTTCCCCCTCTGATCGTAAAAGCTCTGAAGGACCAGAAATTCTCAACGCCCACATCAATTCAAGCCTTGACCCTCCCGCCAGCAATTCTAGGAAGAAGAGACATCCTGGGGGCTGCAGAGACGGGCAGTGGAAAGACCCTGGCCTTCGGTATCCCAATTCTAACAGGAATTCTAGAGTTGAAGGCTGCAGATCCTGAATCATCAATAGATGAACCAAAAAATTTGAAGAAAATTGATGGTTCTGGAGCTACGAATAGTGGATGGATCGTTTCAGCGGAGGGTGAAGCTGACGATGAGGAAAAACCTCCAAATTCAGAAGAAGAATCAGAGGGAGAGGAAGAAGTGAAAAATCCACGCGAAGAGGGCATGGGTTGCGTCAGAGTAATCGACAACATCGACATCAACGACCTCTCCACCCCCTCACCCCTCCGAAAGACCCTCTACGCTCTCATCCTGACACCCACCCGAGAACTAGCAATTCAGATAAAGAATCACATCTGCAGAGCAGCGAAATACACTGACATTAAAGTAGCAGTAGTTGTGGGCGGAATGGCGGCCGTAAAACAGGAAAGAATTCTTAGCAAGGGTCCGGAGATTGTTATAGCCACTCCAGGGCGTCTGTGGGAGCTAATAGACCAGGGGAATCCTCATTTGAGTCGACTGGACTCGTTGAAGTACCTTGCCATAGACGAGACAGATCGAATGTTGGAGAAAGGCCATTTTCAAGAGCTCCATCAGATCCTGGAACGAGTGAATTCTAATGAAATGTCGATTGGGGAGCGTCAGACTTTTGTCTTCTCAGCTACACTGACATTGGTCCATGACATTCCGGATTATTTACAGAGAAAGAAGAAGAGAAATAGTAAGAGTAAGATATTCAAGCTGACGCCTGGCCAGAAGTTGCAGAAGATCGTGTCACTTCTGAGAATAAAAAATCCGAAGATTGTGGATGTTACGAAGGCGAGAGGAACTGCTGGGACATTAACTGAGTGCAGAATCACTTGCACAATGGATCATAAAGATTATTATCTCTATTACTTCTTGAGAAGGCATCAGGGAAGGACTCTGATATTCTGCAATAGTATAGGATGTGTCAAGAGGCTAGCAACACTGTTCGGAATACTGAAGTGCCATCCACTGCCTCTGCATGCCAGCATGCAGCAGAGACAGAGATTAAAAAATTTGGAAAAATTCCAGGAAGATCCCAATAGTCTGTTGATAGCTACTGATGTTGCTGCGAGGGGTCTTGATATTCCGAATGTCGAACATGTGATTCATTATCAGGTACCGAGGACTTCGGAGGGGTATGTTCATCGAAGTGGGAGAACTGCTCGTGCCCAGAAGGAGGGGATCACCGTTTTGATGATGGAACCTTCTGAGCTGCCTTACTACACGAAGCTGTGTAAAACTCTTGGCCATACCAAGGATATACCGACGTTTCCGGTGGTGGATAGACTCCTGGTGGCGGTGAAAGAGAGGGTCAATGTCGCCAGGGAAATCGATAAGTTGGAGTTGAGGTGTAGGAGGGATAATGTGCAGAAGGGGTGGCTGAAGAAAGCTGTTGAGGACATGGATCTTGTGCTGGATGAGGATCAGATCGAGAGTACTATGGAGTCCAGGGAGTCTGCTGAGTTGCGGAGACAACTGAAGAGGAAGAGACAGCAGCTCAATAGCTTATTATCGAAGCCTTTGTTCCCGAAGGGATTTTCGGGGAAATATCTGGAGATGAATGAGAATATTCAAGTTCTGCAGGAGGGTCAGACAGCGGTTCAAGTAATGAAGAAGGCGATCGATGAGAAACCGAGTGGGAAGCAGAAAAAATTAATGGAATTGCGAAGAAAAGCATGAATGTCAAGAAACGTAAAGTGAAAGGTGGGAAGAAATCCTCAAAATAATGTAGAAATGAGAAATGTGAATATTGTACAAGATGAATTAAAGAGACAATTAATTATAAATAATTGACATATTCTTCAAAATAAAGTCGACCGAATAATTTACGAATTTAAGCCGTTGGCTCATAACAAAATCGTTTATACAAATTTCCATGTCACTCCAGGTGCAGATAACTGGAACTCCCTGGGTGGTCGAAATTGAACGACTGACAATTTGAAGCTTAGTCAATAAGCTTTACACTGGATATAAGATTTTTTTTCTAATAATTCAGCCAAAAAATTGTAATTCAGGATAAAATACTAAAAAAATAGGAAATTTTCAGTTTGCGACACGTCAGTTTCGACATATAATCACTCATAACATTTGATCAAGTGGAGTGAGGAAAATCATACGCCATTTTGAAGTTCTCGTTGAGATCTTCAAATTGGTATACAAAAAATTATCATTGTTCAAGTGCAAAGTTCCAATAATCTTATTCTAAAAAGAACATCCACTTAAAGTCGATAACTATCGATATCTCGCAAATCTGTCACGCTTTTTCCTCATTGGTTCCAGTCGTCTGAGGCGGCAAATTTAATCCATGATCAATTTGAAGAACAAATAATGCCCTACAAGATAATATATCAATATTTTGATTGATTTGACGCAAAAGATTAGAAAAATCCAGCCAAATTTGATTATCGAGTAAAGCACGAAAAACCAATTTTTGACTAAAAGCACAATAACTTGATAAGAAATGATCAGAATGGACATTGAGCATTCTGAGTCGAGGAGACAACTGAAGGGGACGCGACAGCAGCTCAATAGTTTATTATCAAGCCCTTGCTCCGGAAGGAATTTCCGGGGAAATATCTGGAGATGAATAAGAATATTCAAGTTCTGCAGGAGAGTGAGACGGCGGTTCAAGTGATGAACAAAGTGATCGATGAGAAACCTAGAGGTAAGCAGAAGAAATCTAATGAAATTGCAAGAAAAAGCCTGAATATCAAGAAACGTAAAGTAAAAGGTGGGAAGAAATCTTCGAAATAGTGAAGAAATGAAAAATGTGAATATTGTACAAAATGAATTAAAGAGACAATTAATTACAAATAATTGATTTAATCCTCAAAATAAATTCGACCGAATAATTTACAAAATTGAGCCGTTGGTTCATAACAAAATCGTTTATACAAATTTCCATTCATTTTCAATATTTCTATAAAAAATGTTATTTACAAAAAAAAGTACATGGATAATCTACAGAATTAAATATTGAAAGAGAGAGCATCACTTTTTATAATACAAGTCTTTCGATAAAGAAAGTATACATAAAATTCATCGAATGGCAGTTTCATGGGGAAATTTTAGTACGGGTTATAAAATCTTGGTGAAAAAATCACCAAGAATGTTTCTTCCTTGTTTTATCAACAAATTGGAGAAAAAAATATTGATAAAAATGCATTTATATTGTCATAGAATTTTCCGTACATCTTCGAATTTTACACCCGAAGTTATCAGAAAATGGTGTTGTAAATAATATCATCCTCTGTGTGGATGATAGAGTCAATCTGTTGAGTAGTAATCATTGAATTAGCATATCTCTCTTCTTGCTCGTTCTCCTCGAGATACGACTCACCACTCTTGACAATAATCTTGATCCTAGCAATGACATGACTGCCTGGACATTCCTGCACCTTGTTATTCGTTTCAGTCTCACATATTTCAGCATAAATATTGTCTGTCTTGGTGGCTATGTGTGTGTGTTTTGGTGGTGATGGTGGTGTTGGTAATGGCATTAAACTGTCTCTAACTCTTGAGTAATTCGGCTGTAATTCAACTTGTACCGGAGTCTCAAGGACACTCGTAGAAATAGATCTTTGAACTGGTAATTTTGAATTCGCATGATGATTCTGTGACGTGACATCCGCCTCTAAACTCGAGTACCGCTCCTTGGCCTTGACAACAATTTCCGGTTTCACTGCAAATGTGAAAGACGCCGACTTCTTGGCTGGATTCCTGTTACGTCCACCAACGTGTGTCAGTTTAGTTATACGTTCTAAGAAGCCATTTGATGAATTTTGATTGCGAGTCTGACTGCGTTCACGCACTGTTGTTTTTTTCAGGTGTTCAATACCATCACGTAGACTCTGGAGAATCGGTTTTGTCTCGGCTTTTGGCTTTATCTTCTTTAAATGCATCTCACGTGATTCTTCATTAATTGGAGTACTTGAATTTGTGGTGGGAATTTTTTGGGGGGCTACTCGAGGCTCGGTTGCACGATCTCCAACTGCTCGGCTGTAATCACATACAAATATTTTAGTTGATTAATTCTGGGATGAAGTCGACACAATTTTTCCTTCTGAATGAAAGCATTGTATTCGTCAAATACAAAATTTCCATTTTTTTGTGTCAGGAAAACTTTTTTGTGTTAGGATGGCCTCAGGAGTTTGAATATGCTGTTTTCATCATTTGTGCATAAAGTGAAATTTGCGCAAAATTCCATTTTTCACACAACATGATGAAAAATAGGGTTCGATACTCGTGGGAAAAGTGTTCTTTGAACCTTGGGAGGGTACTACTCACCTTTGACGAGCGCTACACACCTCCCGCAGGTCAAAAAACACTTTTGAGCACTCGTATTTCTCTATATTGTAAAAATTCAAATCGAATTTTCTGGTGAGAAAAACTTGGTACTCGAAATTCAGACTCCAAAATTAAGGGTCACAAAATGTGACACGAAATCATAAATCTCACGAGTTGGAAAATACGTTGAATGTTCAAAAAATGTTTGACTACTGGGACAGAGTCAGAGACTCGGACATTTACCTTTCTGAATTTTAACATCAACAAGTCTCTTGCTATTAATTTAGAAAATAAAGTTCCAATGTTGAATTATACATTTTCGTTGATTACAACTAAGTGATTCCAAGGAGAAGTGTCAAACGATTTTTCTTCTAGAATTCGTCACGATTGGAAAAATCGAATTTTTCAATACTATTTTTTATCAATTATTTATGCAAAATCAATTATTCAACCGAATGATAATAACTTTGCAATCGGAATAAATAAATTCGTATTCGGAATTCGAGCGGAAATCGGTTTCGAATGAAACTTTGAATAACTTTCATTTTTGACAATGTTTAAACGGAAAGTCATTACTGTAAAATGTAACGTTTCGAAATCTATAGTCTACAATATCGTTTCTGAATTATATTATCATGAATTTTTCCCTCCACAATGTATTCCATCAGCTATGCATTTTTCACTCTCGTTCTAAAATTGGTGTTGCTTTTGTTTACATTTATTCTCTTCTCTCAATTTATTGTATTGAATTCCATAATTTTCTATCGTCCCTATTGATTTTAATAAACACTTTTTTTACCTATTCGCGTTTCAATATTATCTGCCACGATTCTTTCCTCAATTCAGCGAAAAATATCAATGCTAGCCATTAATTAGAGTCATCAAGTTCAGTTCAGTCGCCATTTAGCAATGACAATAACAGAGGGAAAAATAATTTTTAAAAAACATTCACTACTGAAAGGAGAGTAAAATTACGATAGTTACCTGCAGGCAGCGAGTAATCGTTGCATCTTTGGGGAGGTGAGTAGTCTCGCTTCAGAAGGATATCCTAATGTTGCTCTTCTGACTCTTGGTGCACCATTACCAGAGGCAACGAGCTCCAGCATCTCAGGATTATGAACTGGCCGTTCAGGTACAATGCATCCAAGGACAATTGAGCCCCTCGTCGATGTTTCCAGTTGCATGAGACCACCGTATTCTCTGGGCAATGGCACCGGAAGTGGACCCGCTACCAGTCGTACCTATCGAGAGAGAGAAAAAAAAGATACAGACGAGCAATAACAAAGAGAGTAAAATGATAAAGACACAGTCATCATGATCAGTTTATCAATTCCATCGATCTAGATGGTGGAGATACTCACCCTGAGGGGCAACGCCCGTTTCACAAGATGGTGCACCCTGTAGAGTACAGCATCGCTTCCTGTGTCCGAACTGTTACTCTGGCATATTGCGTAAAATTCACCGCGTGATGACAATGCCGCAAAGACCTCGCGACCGTGAGAATCTAAACACTGAGCGTATTGATCTTTCTCTGTTGTTCCACCGGTGATACCGAAGGCACTGTATTTTCTCGTGTCTTGAAAGACTGCTACTAATCGGAGTACCTCACCGGCACGAATCGTTGTCTTTGTGTAATGGGCTCGCAGATTTCCATCCCCTATAAATGATTTTTACTGTTAATTAACGAGGTATTAGACGAGAATAGGAAGAACTAATTCATAAATGTAGTGGAATGGAGGGACTCCTCACGCCATAATTGAGTGACACCATGAGTTCGAAATGAAGTCGATTCTACATAATCACGGAATTTGTATACACAGTTTAAAAAAAAATGAAATTTCATAGACAGTTGACTACTAATTTTCAGGACAGTGATATTGAACGTGATTTAGGGGGAAAAAAAATCATGAAATTTTAGGTTTCACTGAAAATTCAGTAAAATCCCAGAATTTTATGCAGCCTAAAGACGAAAATTCCCCAATTTATTTGAATTTCTAATCTAGTATAAATATTCGGTGCCAAATTACATTGAATTTTCATGGAAATCTGAAATTTTATGATTTTTTTCCCACTACACTGAGAAAAACAAAGTTTTTTGAGAAGTATGTCCTTACTTATATCAAGAAACTCGTGGCTTGAAAATTTTCAAGAGCAGAATATCTTGCACTAAGAAAAAAAACTTTTGTCAGAAAATTTTGTACTTGTCCTAAAGACGAGGACAATTTCTTGATGACAAGAAAGCGATGTCTCAAACCAAGTAAAATTGATTTAATTCATTTAATAGTTTTTTAACGTCAATTCTAGAATATTTTAATACAAAAACCACTTGAACTGATTTGAAAACTCGTTTTCTTGATATGAACGAATTCCCATCATCTTTCGGACAAGTATGAAATTTCTTGGCGTAAGATTTTTTCTTAGAGGGAGGTATTATCCACTTGGTAATTTTCGAACCATGAATTTTTTGATACAAGTAAAGACGTACTTCTCAAAAAAGTCATTGTCCTGAAAATTCAAGAATATATTTATCGGAATTTTCTGGTTTTCTATTCATTTTCAGGGAAAAATGGAATTGAAATTTGCAGTTCTCTTCGATTTTTCCACGAAATTCTGAATTTTCAAAATAAAATAAACTACGAAATACCTTGAAATTTCAGTGTTAATGAAATTCGATAAAAATTTCTAAAAAGCGTATCGGAAAATTCAGACAAAAATTTCTAACACTATTTCGATACGAGTGTGTAAAGATTCACTTTCTCGTACGAACGTGTAACACATTCTATTTTTTGTGATACTTGCCGAGCTCACTGTTCTGAACGGTAGTGGGGGTAAAACGGTTATGATGCACAAGTGTGTAAAGTTCAAGAGCGTGCGTAAAGTGAATTTCGAGTGCGTGAAGCGAAGATTTAAAAAAATTCTATGGTAGTATTAGGGAACGATATTTTTCCGCAGTGATCTTCACTTTTACGAGTTTGGGAACAGGTCAATGCCAATCCTCGAACGAGAAAAAGTGAAGGTCAGCACGGAAAATGTAGTGACGTTACGAGACATCATGAGACAATACTTTGGAGGGATCGTCTCGGTCTTAATGAACATGGAAATTTTTTGTCTCGTTTCAGTCTCGAAATACGCAATATCGACTCCTCTCGTGATGACTCGGAGTCAACTTATTTTATCTCGGTTTCAGCTTTTCGCGTTTTTTGTGTGTATAAAACTGAGACGAGACAAACCGAGACAAATACCGAGATTTTACATTAACAAAGACGAAAAACTTGAGACCGAGATGAGATAAATTGACTCTGAGTCAATAGGAGAGGAGTCGATATTGTGGATTTCGAGACTGAGACGAGACAGAAGATTTCTATGTTCATTGAGACCGAGACCATCTCTCCAAAGTATTGTCTTGTAAAGTTTCTCGCGGCATCACTAGGAAAATGATTTTACTGATTTCGATGATTTCGAGCGTCACGTGAAATGATTTCATGACTTCGACTGATTTGGAATGATTCCATTGATTCAAAACCAATCATTTCAGGGGGCCTATCATCATGAAGAAAAAACGGAACGTTCGCCTCGCATGATAAATGAAAATCAAATAAAAACACAATTTATTTTAATTGTTCCCAAGCAAAGCGACGTGATGCGAACGCTCCGCTTATTCTTCCTCATGATAGGCCCCAAGAGAAAACGAAGTCGTGTCAATTTCAAAATCTTATCTTATTAGGTTCTATTGTTTATAAAATTTCTATTCGATGTTGAAGAATCATCCAAAATTCAGTTCTATATATGTCAAATTGGAGCACAATCCGAATTTTCAAATTTATAGTAGGAACTGTTCCCTGTATTCCATCAATTTTTGGATGAACGGAAAATTAGAGGAAATATTCGCTTCAATTTCTATTGAATGATTCTTCAGTTACAAAACGAGATTAGTTATTGGGAAATATTTTCGCAATTTCACTTGAAAATTTGCATAAAATGTAACAGTTACCTCCATATATTGAACGATTGTTCATTTCATTTTCATTGCACAATAATTGAAGATAAAGTATTGTGAAGTTGATTATAGCTCTCAATAAATATGAGTTCTCGAACAAAACGAGTACTGTCACACCGTTGAGATCATTCCTTTTTCAATTAATTTTTCATCTCGAAAAAAGCTTTTTTCTCCTCACTCTCCACGAATAGAAGTGAACCGGTTGCACTTAGATTACGCGTAATGCAAATACATACAGCAGTGGAAGACTCGGAAATGAAGAGGCAGAGAGAGCAGGGGGACGGGGTTGGAGGGGAAAGATCAATTAATCGGGATTGTCGGTCAAAAAAGTAAACTCGCGCGTGAGAGAGCATGACATCGTAACTAACTAACCCATCTTGGAGTGCGTGAGGGTGTAAGCACGTAGTGGCGCCGCAAGAAGGAAAGCTGGTACACCGGCACGCACTAGGCTCTCGACGCGACGATACACTCGTGCGCTGCCCATTGCGTTGTTACCTGACACCACTGAAAACCATCCTGCAACAGAATAAATGACACCATTAGTTACCCCTTTTATAATGTTCTCAGATTTCTCAAAGGATAAATTCTTTTCACAATAGGCAACTTGCATGATTTTGGCATAATTTTTCATTTGGAGTTTATGGCCTCAATAGACTCACGCCGGGATATGGGACCCCCATCCGATGCTAACAAGATATGGATTTCAATTATTTCTGTATGAATTCCCTTTGTCTAGTTTTTATGGGAACTAATTTGAAAATTCTAGCCGAATAATATTCAACGATCAATACACAATAGAATACAAAATAAAATAAAAAATCTAATCATAATACACAAATGAAAATTAAAAAATACTGTGATGTCCGGAGGTGAATTTATGCGTTGGAGGACTGGTTTTCGTAATATTGTACAATATTTTAGCAAACGCTAAGCTAGAATTATTATTGATTTTAAGGACGACGCTATTTTAGTGCTCTTACCTTGTCTTTCTCAGTTTGGCCTGAATTACTAAACTACGTATTCAAAAGTGAATTATTTCTCATATCATTTTGTCACTCGAAGCTTTGAGTAATTGTATTAATTATTAATTGGAATAATGTTTTGTCGTGTTTAAGATTGCTATAAAGATAAAATTATATGTTGTAACTTGAAAATAATATTTATATATTAAAAGCTCATAATTTTGTGTAAAAGAAAATCATCGATTTTAATAACTCAAACAAATTATATATTTTAAGGTGGGAAATTTATAATTTCCATCGCACTCATTTTTAATTAAATAATAATATCATCTAAATATAAAAATATTATAAGGATGTAATGTTTAATAAGATGGGATGACTCGAAAATCAGAAGATTTAGAGGTTTAATTTTTACAAGAAATTTAATCCGTTAGTCATAAAATACTAGTTCTTCTTTTACAATGATTTTAAATTTACACAAGTTTTCAGATAGTCCACCCCTGGAATACCTCTCCTGGACTAAACATAGGTAAATCCCAATGTTTACAATTGTACTCCTAGTTGGGAAATATCTAAGAGGATCTGAGCATATGGTCAGAAAAAAATGACCATTGGGTATAAGTATGAAATGACTGAATAAATTTTGACCGTCAATTTCTATCTATATCGACGACCCTCCATTTTCAAGTGCTTGTCTATTAATTTCTACACTTAAACATTATTTTCTGAAATTTGCATTCGACTTTTCGGAACTGTTCATCACATTTTAGTTCTACTGGAATTACGGTTCAATTATTTGAAAATTCAAACAAATTAAAGAATTCTCGTCTTCATGTTTCTCAAAATTTTCGAATTGTATCAAATTTTCGGTGAAATCTGTAATTTCATTTTTTTTCAACAGTGTATCATTGAAAACGGAGCCATTGATAATAATTAATAAATAAAATGATAATAATAATTAATTAATGATAATAATAATAATAATTCAATGCCATTAAAAAGTTTTCCGATCGAGCTCTTAAAAAATGACCCAAAAAATGACAGAAATAAAAATGACGAGCAATTTGCAACTACATAGACGATTTTGGATCACTTTGGCTCGTGTCGGACGCAGCTTAACTGTGACGGTCACTCTATATCTTTAGTCAAAAGTGATCGGAAAATCAGTTAAAGTCGTTTGCTCTCGTATTTTATTTTCTGAAAACGGAAATGAACATCAACTCATAAAAATACGTAATAGTTACGTCTTTTGTTTGCATAATAAACCCTCCGGTAAATCCTGAAATAAAATATCGAATCATTTATCACCCATGAATAACTCCAGTGAGGCTACTAACGCGATAAAACCTCGTCCAGATTTATAAAGATTATGGTAATGAACCTGAGACGCTTGTGTCCCCCATAAGTTGTCGCGTAACTCACACTGTTCCCTCGTCGTAATATCTTAATCTGTGATATAACGAGAAGTAGTGGATGCCTATTTATGTATAAAAAGAAACCCTTAATCGCCGAATGATTTGTGCCAATAGTTAAAACCCTCCTCTAGTCTTGTTCCTTCAAACACTTAATTAATTAATAACCCACAATCACGCAAGTATCGTTAGCGTCCATAGTATTTCCCTAACGTGTATACATTTGCATTTTCTACATGACCAACAAAATCGTTTTGGTTCAGTGATACTTGCCCTTGAACTCTCGTGCATAAAATTACGAAAATAATCAACCTAGCAATTAATTAATTACCTCAAAGACATCACCGACACCCTCGCGGCCTCGTAATTTGTTGCCTTTTCGCGCACCGAGGAATTTAACGAGTATTAAAACATACTCAAGGTGCACATGTAATGCCATAAACTCTAGGGAGGAAAAAAAACATTTTTGATGAATTGTTGGTAATAAATTTTAAATTCCTGGCCATACGAAAATGCCCAAGAAGTGCCGGTTTGAGTCATCGAAAACGCAGGGGCCATATAACATTTTCCGTTATCAAGTTATTAAATTCTTTTGATTTTTCTCTTCGTCATCATCAATACCAACACCACTACTACTGCCTTCGTATTCCTTGGGGATAAATAACGTTTGGTTCTTCATGTTGTGCATAACAGAGGATGTGGGAAAAGCATCAATGTACAGTATTTCGATGATGATTAATTCTTTCGCACTCCAATTAAATGTTTCGAAAGGTTTCACAGAAGAATAATGGTAAAAAAATGAGGAAACAAAGAAAAATTATAAATAAAGAGACACGTGAGCATAAAGTACTGATCACGTGGAAAAATACAAAATACCGGTTTCAATTAATTGAGAAGGAAAATATTCCCCTCCTCCCCTTCTCCGGCTCATCGTATCTTGTGCATGTGATAGTGCTCATGCACGTGTTTATGTTTTTCTACGCGCGATTTCCGTTATGTCATCTATAACGGGGGTCTCTCCTCACGGTGAACGCCTCACGCGCATACACACACCACCTATGTTATAGCCCGTCTTTTCTACTACGAGTTCCATTAATTCCAGCCTGTCTACTAGGCCTCTTGTGGAATGAAAAATTCTACAACAACTAACGCGTCGACGCGCGTCTCTCGCGCAGTTTGATCTCACGCCAAGCAGAAAATTCGAAGCGTTTCGTTTCGGTTTAATGCACCAGATGCAGCGGAGGTGTGTGTATACACTTTTTGCGGGTGATATTTGAGAGTGAATCCCAGGTGGGCGCCACGTGCCCTCCGTGAGGTGTTGTGTGCTGTGTTATTTGATACGGTGCGGATGCGGGTGAGGAGGAGCAAAAATAGTAATGGTTACGGGTTTTTTTTTTTTGAAGGAATTGATTGAAGGGACGAGAGGCGCTCTGGAGTTATTGGAAAACTACTTGGGTTAATTTGATGTTTAATCAATAGGTACAGACGACGCTTTATGCAAGATACCTTAGGGATAGTAGGAGAGTGGGATTCTGGGAATCCGTACACGGAAGAAAAAATATCCTCGAATCGGGTTATGATATTCCAGAATCAGGATTGTTATATTATGGAATCTCCCTATATTATAAAAATCCAAACCGACTTCTGGTGATAAAAATTTGGTACTTGAAATTAAGATTTTGACATTAAGGGTCACAAGAGTCATGAGGGTCGGAATAAGAGTCAGGAGAAGGGTCACGAAGGTCAGAATAAGGATCACGAGGATCAGATTAAGGGTCACAAGTGTCAGATTAAGGATCACAAAAGTCAGATTAAGGGTCCAAATAAAGGTCATGGGGGTCAAAAGCTAAGGGTCGCAAGGGTCAAAATACGGGTCTCAATACCTCTATATTGTAAAAATCAAAATCGACTTTTGGTGATGAAAATTTGGTCCTCGAAATTAAAACTCCAAAATTAAGGTTCAGAAATGAAGGGTCAAAATAAGGGTCACGAGGGGTATAATGAGGGTCAGAATAAGGATCATCGGGGTCATATGGGGTTGGCGAGCGGAGCGAGCAGGGGGCGAGTAGAGGGCCTAGTCCGGAACAATATTCCGAAATTCGGAATACACTATTAGAATTTTTTTGAAAATTAAGCAATAGTTGCACTTGAATTCTCAATTTTGTGAATTTGAATTCAATTTAAGATCAAATCGTCCATGGAATCTCTCATTCAGGTTGGAAATTCAGGATAATTGGATTTTCCACGTTAGATTATTACTGATATTTCAATAGTGATGCCGTGAGACACTTTGCGAGACAAAAATTTGGGAAGATAATCTCGGTCTCAATGGACATGGAAATCTTTGCTCTCGTCTCAGTCTCGAAATACGCAGTATCGACTCCTCTCGTGATGACTCCGAGCTAATTTATCTCATCTCGGTCCCAAGTTTTTCATGTTTTTTAATGTAAAATCTCGGTCTTTGTCTCGTCTATTCGCGGACAAAGAATCCGCGGAGAAAGAACGTATGAAAATACTTCCCTCAGTGCTGCTCCTGATTATTGCCCGATCTTACTTAAATTCGGATGGCGCGTCGTTGGTACATGCCATCTGTTATAGACGTAATGTACAATATTTCAAATCGGCAAGTCTCCGGAATATTATTCCGGAATTGAGGATAAAATATTCCGGATTCCGAAATATTATTCTAGAATCGAGAATTAAATATTTCGGATTTCGGAATATTACTCCGGAATTCCGAATATAATATACTGGATTTCGAAATACACAAATTTCTAATTGCAGAATATTATACACCAATATAATAGTTAGAGGATATTTTATTTCCGTGTACACCCCCACTATTAGGGAACAGCAATTTCATATAAGACACCTTCTTCATTACGCCCCAAATTAATGGAATTATGATTTTTTTTGAGTGGACATAGATAATTAATCAATTTATACGTGTTCAATGTTTTGAATTCGTATATATCCCGCGCTTCTTTATGATAACACATTGCCGTGCAGTATTAACCACAATAAAAGAAAAAATCGCCTTTCGTATTTCGATTTTGTAAAAAAATCTTGACGGTTACATAGACAAAATGCATGAAGTGATTATAAGTTTGATCGTTTTGAAATTGCTTGACCCATGAGATTA